TTTCCCTACTCCCTCTCTCTCTCTCTCTCTCTCTCTCTCTCTCTCTCTCTCTCTCTCTCTCTCTCATGCATTCGTGTTTTGTTATCATCACTCTTATCTTTTATTCACGTGTTTCTTCTCTCGATTCACTCTACCGATTTATTGGTTTCTTTCGGGTTTTCGCTGGTCCCCTTTACTCATTCTTCACTAATTATCAGCCAATTATATTCCCGTCTTACATTTTCTTTATTATACAGGGTGTTCGGGCTAGTACGGGGTACTTGTTATGGGTACTAGGAATTTATGTGTGAGTGGAAAAAATTACACTGTATGTATACTGTTGGTATATTGCTGGTATAACAGCGACGGTAATGACGATTCTATTTCTTCTTTCATGTGTGTGTAGTTTTATAGATTTGCGTTTGAATTTATAGGACCACACGTGTCCAGATGCCAAGTTGATCAAAGGCGTCACGTGGACCAGCTCTTGCACTATGGAAATTTCTATGAAAAATTTCTTCGACGTCTATTTGGATTTTATACGGCAGAAACTTGATCCTACAAAATTTTCTTCTAAGGTCGAGCTTAGAAGAAAAGAAGAGGGTCCTCTCGTCCTTGCAGCATTTTCCTACTTTCTATTGAAAATTTAGACTGGTCTTAGGTCATAGTATAAAAATGTATTGCTGCGCTCGATTTTCGTCGCTCACTAAGCTTCGATTTTCGTAGGGTTTTTTCAATTTGGCGCTGCCTGCTCGCTGCTTCATACTGTGGTAACTCGAAATAATTTATTGGACTTTTTTTTTGTTAATGTTCAATTCTTTGTTAGGATATAGTCGGCGCAGTATTTACGAGAATATTTTTCCACTTTTCACAAATTTCGTCTGGGTTTATTTTTATTTATTTTCAAACGGAACTCGACGACATTTTTATTTAAGCATTTAACGCTTTTACGGGTTTTCGATGCTATGTTTCGCTGTTTCCGTAGATCGAAATGCCCTGTGCTCAATTTTACTTATTTTCTATAGGTACACGTGCGAAACGACTTTTGTCGCGTTTCAATATTGCGCTGCGAACGGTTCCGTTATCTACTGATAAGTAAACGAATATTCCAAGGTCCCTAATCTAATCTGCTGTCGACAATTTGTAATTACTCGAAGAAATTTTTTTTTTCACTCTCCTTAATATACGTAATTTGAATATTCGCGATCGCACGTGGTTTATACGGCGACCGTATTCTATTTCTTAGCTATTCGCATACGTTATATATTATATTTGCAACGTGCTTTCATTATTTTTCTTTCGCTTTTATCGATTTCCACTCTAGTTCTTGGTGTTTCAGTATACGCTTTTATCAAGTCGTCTAGGAAAAAATAAAAACTGAGGTAACTTATTGTATGTATAGTAAAAGTCATTTTACAGTTTGGCAAGCTCGATAACGTAATCTAATCTTCCACCACGCAATATTTAACCAATCTCGGTGCTACTTTTCTTCTCCGTTTGGTCGCCAATCGCATAACTTTCCTTATTTTTATGAAGGTGTTATCCAAGCTACACGTTAGAAGTCGTGGAGGAAACAAAAACTGTTTTACATTTTTACATATTTTAAGAATTGCTATTAGAAATTAAATGAAAATCCTCCCTTCGAGAATCGATATAGTTAAATGGTGAATTTTAGGTAAAATTATGGTAAACTATCGTGTTAAAAAAAATTCGGATTACTATAATTTAGTGGTTTAGAGCTTTTTACTGTTGCAACAGACTATTGAAATTGGTGCCAATGGATCAGTGAATTTATCCATTTTTTTACGATTCCTATATTTTATTAGACTCATAATAACGTTATGACAATATAATCGTATGTTAACCTTCAGGTGATGGCGCGTAATGTAATAAACACAATAGGTGTACATTTCTTACGGCAAGAAAAAAAGGCATCACTGAATGGGTAACATGAATATTTTCATATATACGTGAACAGTCAGAATTTATTCTTAGCATTAAGAATTATCAATTACATAAAAATGACTATAATTGGCAAAAAGGGGTACTTCGCGAGTTGTTCTCGTCCTATGCTTCAAGTATCGTTTCTCAATTATCCGAAAGTTCATTAGATTCGCTTGACTCGTTGAATCAGTTTAATTTTCTTCGATATGATGGGAATAATATCGGTTATTTTTTTCAATGAGCCAATCTACGGAATCATACTTATATAAAATATCTAGCAAATACTTTATATCCCATCAATTATCATTCTCCGATCATTGTACGTATTAATTCAAGTTATATATATATGGAGGGTGTACGTTAAAACGAGGGACGTAGTTTAGGTATGGATTCAGGACACGCGAAACAGTGATAAAAGATTATATGAATATGTATCTTATTCGACACCCTATATATACTTATACGTATGCTTGTTCTTAGATCTGCTAATTCCCTAATCGACACTCTATCCTTAAAGAAACTTATTTTGTTCATGGTTCTGGAAATTGACCTGTTTTTTTTTTCTTTTAAGTAACTAGAGACAAACTTTTCCAAACCGTATTTTCACTTATGGATTTTAATGATCTTCACAGAGCTTATTAGGACGCAGCTGCATTGCGGAAACTCGCACAATACATGCGAGTGTGCATATCTTACGGCACGCCTTGTAAACGTATACCTAGCTAATAAGTTGCCACGAGTTTAACGGGCTTTTCTTATTTCTTTCCCTCTCGTGCAGTGTTCTTTTTAGTTTTTGCGGTCAGCCGCAATGCTTTAGCCGGGAGGAGCAATTATTTTATTGATTTAAAACAGCTGCAATATCGCTTAGTGATGATCATTTGCAATCATGAAAAATAATTACTTTTTTATATAGAAACACGAAAAAAGTAACTACATTAATTTGCCAAATATTTGTATAGCGAAGCTGCTTGCAGATTCCAATTTGCTTCTCGATCAGGGCTGTTCAGTGCTATTTAATGTATAATTGAATTTGGCGAACATTTTTTCCACGCTAATTTATTTAATGACGGTCAGTATGTTTGAACGAGTGATCAATGAATCGAGGTTGTTTTATATGATTATACGTGACACGTGGCTTAATTGTTTGTTTTTCTCTCTTATATGTCTTCTTCTCTTCTATCGCATCTCTCAATTATTCTTACCTTGTTACAGTTCCGCGTGTATCACTCAATCCAATACTACCGGGTGTTCGAAAGGAGGCGTCATATAGAAAGGAAAAGCAATTACGTGTAGAGTCAAGCTACGAGCACGAGGGTTGCTGCGAGTCATGAATGAAATTCCTTGTTTGCTGTTTTCTCTGCATCCTTCAAGCGCGTCGCTTTATCTCCTTTCCATTCTTATACCAAGAGAATTTGTCTCTTTCTCGATTCCCATTCTCCTCTCGGACGCCCTCAATTTTCAATTTTCTGCACTGTCCCCCTTTCATACGAGGTGACTGACTGATGCTTGTCGATTAAAAGCGGAGGTTGACGCAATCCTGTAATTCTCAACTCGTGACCCAGGTAATGCATGCGACTGAAGGTAATACTGACACTTAATGCTTCTTTAATGACGTAAACTGAACGGTGTACTTTGAATTCCTTAAGATCGCAGTCATCACGGCTTTTTTTGTCTTTCATGTGCAATAATGGGAAAATTGTATCTTCGTGCAGACTTCGCGGAACAGTCGTTTTCTTACTTTATTTTGTATAACGTGATGCAAATCTTCAAGGATATTTGAATAATTGTATGCGACGGTGTTGGGCGTACGATTAAAATATTGTTTTTATATTGCAATGCGGTATACTCGGTGAGATGAGATTTAAGGAGTTTGACAGTTAGCTGATCAACTTTAATTTAATGGAAGTGCCTCTTGCGAAGGTTATATAGTGGTTTTAGAATGTCAGATAACAGGTTTCATGCTGGACATGTTGATGGGGAAGTTTGGATGCTTGAAGGTAGGTCATGTACTTTAATTTTAGAGGACCGGCATTTTTGCCTTGAAATTTATTTTTTTACAGAAAATTCATTTATGTATGGAGTCTATAAATTACGAGGAGGCGTCGGGTTGCGTTGAAAATTTTTAAATTTTTATTTGAACGCTTCCAGAGGTTTTTGATATCTCTAAACACGATTTCAATGTGAAATCATAAAAATTTCGTTAAAAAATAATGTTATAACCTAAATGCGTCGAATTGAGAAGCAGACATTGAAGAGACTAAAACACGACCGTTAAACGATACATATGTATCTACCGGTCTATCAAACCGCAAACAGGCGAGCAAATACACTTGTATATATCAATGCGTATTGCATATTTTTCTGTGATTCGTCTTTATTTGTATGTTATACTAGTATCTGTTTCTGTCCACTGTAATGACCACCACGGCCTTCTGAAGGCTAAACAATTTCAGCAGAGCTATTGGGATATGTGTTTATATCGATATCTGCATTACTGGCTGTGCGACTAGACTTTGGCGCCATCTAGCAGAAAATATAATAAATGAATATAAAGCTTCATATAAACTTCTCGCTTCTCAGATAGATGATGCGACGTGTATCAAAATTTACGGTACGGTTCATTGTTTTGTTTTATTAATGAATTCTCATAAATGTGAAGTAGCAATTATTAGAATTGAAAATACGTGCGGTTGGCGCGCAGCCGTGTGAATTGAATTTAAAATTCGTGTAATTAATTATTTTCCAATGAGTGCATATCCATGCGCCACTTTGTGAGCGCATGCACGAATAATGTTTTTGATATTTTTCAGTTAAATCTAAAAAGATTTTGAAATAAGTCTACTATATACTTCGGGATACACCGCAAACAAAAGTATAGGTCTCCCAAGCATAATTATAGCTACGTAACCATAGAATACGGTTAACATGTGACAGGCATATTGTGTAGCTGCAGCAGTCATTTTTAAGTGATTACGTAATTTTTTCCAAAGTAGATCAGCTGTAGTGAAATACCTAGCACAGCTACATTTTCTCGTACATATTCGCAACAACTAAATTTCATAGTTGAAAAACTGAAGTATAGTCCACGCAACGACTTTACGTTGCGTAAAGTTTTATTTAACCATCTTTCAGCTACAGTAACGATATTGTCAGCCATAATACTATGGTTGTTATACCTATATTACGTGGCCACTGTACCAATATATATGATTATAGCAGCTATACGTTATAACTAATTCAGCTGTAATCTCTCAGTGATAACAGAATGGTTGTAGGGCCTATAGTATTTTTTCACTGTGACGACACGCCATCTGTTGGTCATTTATTACACTAGCAAGGAGAATCAAGCGCCATCTAGTTTCATCGGCTGAATGATAATTTTATATAAAATCTCGTTATTCTCATATCTGTTAGCTTATAAATAAAACGCGTAAATTATATTTACAAGTAAATCTGTTTTGTCGATTGATCTCTATAATATTATCCGCTCGAGTTGCACCTTTTCTCTCGATCCAAAAAATGAATCACTGATACACCTTTCCGTTTTGTCAACATACATGTTTTACTTCGTCTTCCTAACTCTTTACCATCTTATTCGTCTTAATTTTTATTTCTTCTTCTATCACTTGCACAATCATATCCTCTTTCTCTCTCTGTCTCTCTTTCTCTCTCTGTCTGTCTCTCTCTCTCTCTCTCTCTCTCTCTCTCTCTCTCTCTCTCTCTGTGTCTGTAACCTCTATCACACTTGACATTCACGCACTACAATTCGTTTATATTTTTTATGCACTCCTATTCTCAGGCAATCCCCAGGGGTTCTCATGTCCATTCCTCATGCATTCAGTGACACTTATTCCGTACACTCAAAAAATAAGTTTTAATTTAAAACTTTATAACTGATCATTAGGTTAACGACCCTTAAAATACGCAAAATCCCTGTTATAGGGTGCGAACTGACTGTCCGAGTTCGAATCAACGATTATCGACATACAGTCAACCCATACGTAACGTATGATGTCTAGGGGACTCTTTTACATTGTAAGTCATAGGAAGATGGCACCTCCGAAACATTTTATCCATGTACAGATTATAGGTATTCGTATATCTCGAAGAAATTCGAATAGAGAAGTCTAATAGCTATTGTTGTTCCTAAGTCAAATTGAAAATTAAACTATTAAATCTTTTTACCGATGGAACTTATAAATTCGTTTATCATACTTCGGTCTACCGTTATTTCTACAGAGCTATACAAAACAAATCGTTGAACCAACCAGACGTTAAAGGATTGTCTGATGTGTCGGGATAAAAAATTGTTTTCAACATGAACATAAACATAAATGCTAACGTCTTAGCACAGCGTAAGTCCCCATCAGAGATCTTATACGAATTTATGACACGCTATAAAAGCGGATAGGTTACACGTGCCCTTTTTACTTCCCGGCAAGAACGTAAGGATATTGTAGATGGCACTACCTGTTTAGCAGCGCGAGGAATTCTTGATGATTTATTGATTATATAGGTACTCTATCTACTTTTTCTCTGCCGTTTTATTTTCAAGGATGATTTTGACTTAACTTTCATTTATGCCGAGAATCATCTCGTGGCTACCACTGGACTCTTATTGATCTTTTTTTAAAAAGATGCAAACAGAGTTGAGTCTTTTTCGATAAATTATTTAAATATCATTATTATTTAGAATATTAATTGTGATATGATTCGCGCTGTTAATTACCGCCATATTTAAATTTTCATAGTCATTATCGAGACTACTTGTTTCGGATCAATACCTTGAAACACTTTTATTCCATCTTTATCTGTGTATTGCGAAATGTTCATTTCGAAAATAGACCTCTTGCCAAGTTTTTTGGCCATATTTTGACTGTACGGCGATGTGTATATACCGTAAAGTAAATTAACTCTGTAAAAAAATGGAATTTTTAATGACATTGTTGATTATCAAAAAAATCGAAATATAATTATACACTTCTTTCAATGTCTAATGAACATTGATTTTGCGTATTTTTTCTGATATCCTTTTTTTTTTACTTACTTAGGATTTTCTTTGGCAACTTCTTTGCCAGCTTTTAACAATTCAAAGGCAAGACCTTTTTGCCTGTCGGTTGGTCTTACAGTGACCAACTCGAATTCCGTGTAAGATTCGCAATCAGTATATAATTTGAACACGTCCACCTGCTTTTCAATGTATTCCATGTACCCGTACAAATCACTGAAGACACGACTTTGTGGCTTTTCTTCGTGTCTATCTTCTTTATTGCTTTCTGGACGGTTCTCCTTAGTATAGGTGCGCAAAATTAGTATTCCTGCAATTCGGCTAGTCTCTTCGTGGACAGCTATTATTTTCTTGTAATCGCTGTCACGTACCAGCGACCTACAATGAAACTTGATTATCTAATTTATAGTTGAACAAAACATTGCAACATTGATAAATGAATGTAATTTGTTCTGCAATCGATATTGGATCGACGGAATAATTTGGTTTTTAGTAAAATTTATGTCGTTTTGCATTATTGATTTGTTGTTTTAAATTTACATTTAAACGAGTAAAACTGTATAGATACTAATACTTCAGCTTTGCAGCCCCTTTATCCCCTAGTAGAAATTTCATTATGAAAATCAAATACGGTTCCAGTGGGGACCTTGACAGGTCCTGGACTAGGGTCTGTAATATTTTTAATTATGTTTTTGAGAATAAACTATACGTCGTAATATTAATAATTTTAGGCGAAAATATGTACGTGGAATCGAATCTTTGGCAAAAATTTATTATAAACTTTCGATATTATTACTACTTACGTCATCGTTATATATTTATCTTGATTAATAATCTTACGCTCATCGCGATCGGGGTCTGCATTCAGCATCAATCGATACATAAGAGTTTCGGTCTCAAGAAAAACATTGGTCAGCAACTCAATTAGCTCCTCATTATCTGCTTCATTGGCTTCCTCGATGAAATATCCTTCACAGGAACAGGAAAACCTTCGTTTCGCCATCTTAAATGTATATGTATAGCTACGTTTACGTAATTCGCAAGATAATGATAGAATAGATAGATAGATACAAGATAATGATAGATAGAATTTTGGGTCTTCAGGAACGGCATAGCACGTCTACTCTCTTAAAACGAATCAATTAATATTAACTGACTATCATCACAGGACGATAGGGACAATCATTGAAATTTTACTAATTGAATTAACGAAATTGACATACCTCCCGATTGAATCAGTACACAGGAAAAAAAAGGTTTTTTTTTTTAATATTACCGCAATAAAGTCAATTGGATATGTTGAAGTTAACATGAAAAATCTGTTTTTGTTAATTAATAAAATGTTAGTACATATGATAATCCAAATGGAGCGCTGAGTTCGTGAAAAGCTGTAAAAAGGTATTAATTTCTTTGTGCTCCGTCTAACGAAGCCTCAATTCAATTACAAATCTGAGAATTTATTACGAAAGAAAATTCAGTAATAATAGAAAAAAGACAGTCGTATTCTTACGCAGAACTCCCTGTCTAACCACTAATGCTTTCTCTACTTCGTTCGATACTTAACAGTTGCTAGTTTAAACTTCATCAAATGTATTGCTTAAAGTAGTATGGTCATGAATTGATTTTCAAGATTAAAATATGAAATAAATTTCAAATGAAAATTCATATCAATATTAACCTCCTGGTGAAATTTGTGGTCGATTGTTGGTCTGGTATGGTTGATAAAAATTAATGAAGAACTAGGAAATAACCCAGGGTCTTATGGGCAAATTACAGTTTTTGGGTTTTCACGTTAGATCCAAGATTAAAATATAGAAAAAATCCGAAAAAATCGGAAAAAAATTTACCACCAACTATGAACATTATTGACCGTTTGATACTTTTGTTATAAATAATTTCTGTTACTGGATGTCCGGGAATGGCGTAATGAGTAGATACGGCAACGTTGCGTCAGTTGAGTTCACGCAAGCGGGCATTTCAAATCTCCTTTCTCCAATGGTGAGCAACGAGCTATGATATTAACTTTTTTTTTTTCTCAAAAGATGGCCAGGTAGGTCTCCCAAATTTCCTTATTAATCAAGAATAATGAAAGGATAATGAAAAATTTATGAGTTTATTGAACAAGAAATAGGGAAATAGTAAAATAACTAGTTATGAATGATTATGACACTCACATATAGCATGGACTACGCGATCCCTACTTCAAACTCCTCGAAAAAATGCCGCTCGATTAGACAAAGAGGGACTGAGGTGGCGGCCAGTAGCTCTCCTTCTCTAATCCTCCCAGTGGCTATGTTGTCTATACATACACCCGTACTACGGCTGCTGATCAGAAAGAGACAGGGCTTGGCCGCCACCAGTCGCTATCTCTTTCTTTCAGCCGACCATGTTTTTCTACGCTTGTGTAGTCCATGCTATATGTCAATGGGAGGGGGGGGGGATACATGAGATAATATTTCTGAATTTGCAGCGTTGCCACATATGAAAACACGCTAGTCAAGAGAGCTACTATTGTTTGAGCAATAAATGAAAAATAATAAATATTGCCTCATTCTTGTATTCATGAAATTTAAAATTCAGAAAGGAAAATAATCATTATTTTTTGGTGTATTTTTATTTATTTTTTCCTGTGCACTCAACGACTCAACTGGAGTTTGACCATACTACTTTAATCTACTCATTTGTATAATGAATTTCGTACGACGTCATTATTCAAGTTTTAGCTCGACGATCGACAAGATTTTTCACATACGTCGTGTGGTGCATGTAACTAGATTTTTATACTGTCCGTAAACGTCCATTATAGTCATCCATTAATGGTTTCCCTATTAAACTTTGTAACCACTTTTATTATTCAGTTAAGGCGATGTCATACGAACCAAAAGTGCATTGTTTTACCTACTATATTAACGCACTATAATCAATGCACTTTAAAGTACGTAATGACTCACGAATATACGAGCAAAGTCCCTGTACATAAGCATCTCGGAAAAAAAAAGTATAATAATTTTATTACTGTTATCGCTGACATATGATCAGATCTACGCGATGACCTGGCGAAGTCAAACAACCCAAAGTATTTTGTCCACTCGAAAACTTTTTAAAACTATCATGCGAAATAACTTGATGTCTTTTTTCTTAATTTATCACTTGCCTGGCACGTAGAACTTCGAGCCACAATATACTGTTGAGGGGCACTTTTATATAGACCTCGTAGCAACCTTGTTGAAAAATTAACAGTCTATGGTTTTTCTGATCGGTATTCCGTCCTTACGTGGCGGGTATTTTCAGACACTGCAAAACACGCCTCACGCGCGCCTCTAATACAGATCCTCAGTATCTCGAATACCGTTATGTGATGGGATGTGGTGGGATATGGTGGGACCGCTTCCTCGCTCTCTTCTTTCTCGGTTACGTTGTACTCCTGTATATATTTCTCATGTTGCACTTCTTTCACGCTAATGATAAGGGCATAAATGATAAGATAACTTCGTGAGAGTCAACGCTGAAAATAAATTAATTAATCGATATCTACGTATGTCATCGACAGTATCTTCATCACGATTATGCAACTAACTTTCGCAATTGACCGAGTTCCGAAAAATCGTATTAGGATTTCCTATGTATCGATTCTTGATACACCCCCCCCCCCAAATTTGATGCTAATTATTCCTTTTTTTCAATACAAATTTTGTAGCGTTTTTGTATGTGTATTATATCGCAATTTTACCTGTATCTACCGCATACGATCTATATACATATGGTTCTGTGTTATCAGTAAGGGCGCTGATAGACGTAATGTTTCGATTGCTACATAAATACAGTCCTATAAATAATTCTGTGTTTTTGCTCCATTATTGTACATTATTCTTATGGATGAAATGTTTTATCGATGGCGACAATTCGTCTCGTAAATGTATAATGTTAAAAGGAAGTTGGAATTTACCATCCATTTGCGAGCAGTTTAATGTGCCATTAGAGATCTAGGCTAGCGATGCGAGTAAGGTAGGACTATGCTATATCAACTGCAGCAATGCATTTGTTTTACTATGCTTTCACACGACACGCCAGCGTGAACTATCGTGTTTCAAGTTCCGTTAAACGCACTATTAATGTGGTTCGGTGATAACACCCAATCGAAGATGAAAATCAGTACTTTTTGTATGTACTGGATAATAATTAAAAATTCGTCTATGCAGAATTTGAGATATGATTTAGTTTCTGAGATACAAAAAATCTAAAAGTGTTAATCACCACTATATAGATATATTCGGACTATAAAAATGAATAATTTCGAAAATTCAATTTCTCCATCTTCGTACGTAAAAGTGTCATGGATTTTTTTCTCGAATGCTGAGGTTATCTTATATTTTGACTTACTTTTTTTTTTTCAACCAAAAATCCTGGAATTTTTTTTACTGCCTGTTTAACACGCCATTTCCCATTACTATTATGATTATCATCATCGGACCAACTTTTAACAGTTGCCAGACTCGATGGAATTGTTACGGCGTAGTTCATTATCATCATGAAGCTTTATAAATTGGCATTCAGTTGGTTATCGAATTTTTTCTTATCGCAGTGGATTCTGTTCGAACGATAATATATCTGAAGATCGTATGATTGCGGTTAAATCTGTTTTTTTCCTCTTTATTAACATTCATGTGTTTTTTATATACCTAAAATAAGTTAATATCTTTATTTGAAATTGTTTACGTACGCGAATAGCGTAGTTTTGAATTTCGCGAATATTGTTTTTTTTTTCCCGTGTCATCAATATGGTGTACAATTTATCTGCATTTTAAACGTTTTTTTAGAAATTCTTTTTTAACTGTGTTATCGTATTGTTATGCCGTGACGAACTATAGCGTTATAGATTCAATACGACGTACAAGATTTCGCCGCTATGACTTCACGAACTGATTTTATTAATAAAGAAACAGACAACAGACAGAGTGTAGAAGAGAAAATCTTTTATTTCGCTCTCTAGAGGATCTCCTCTTTACAAATGCTCGACTGAAACTGTCCTTAGATACTGCGTTTTCTAATAAGGTAAAATTAGTCTAACTGGAACGAGGAATTTTTGGACAGGAAGAGAGGATTTTTTGTATAGTTGGGAAATTGCTATTTTAAAAATGCAGGAAACAACGGTTTCTATATTTTTGGAATTAGGGATAATTTTAGGATTGGAAAAATGTAGGGAACTTCCAGGGTAACGGTTCCTTATGGGCTATGTTATAATAGAGGGGCATAACAGTGTATTGCATAATTCCGTTATAACACGTTTTAACGAAATCACGTGAGATTATTATATTTTATCAAATATTTATTTAACTGTAATGGATACACAGTACTGATGTATTTAACAAATAGATGGGTAAGTCTTGCAGATAACTAAGTGGACTTAGTAAATAATTCATTAAGAAACGAATTAATGAACTTGCTGTCAGTTGAGTTTATCAACGTTAGTTTATCTTGCTTTGTATGAACATACATGTACATTTATATTATCTGGAGTCCGTATTATGGTTCAGTATAACAATGCACAGGTGGCATACTAATTTCAAAGGAAACAGCGGTTTAAGGAAAAAAAAAACAGAGGTACTGGTAGTTTGTACTGATGAAAATTTCCTTAAAAAAAGGAATATAAAGCTTATTGAAAGTAGCGTGTAAAAAATTAATTATCAATAAATTCCGGCATCATTCTACATATATTTATATTTCTTCCATACAACGTTTATTCGTTCATTAATAATTTTTCCGTATTTTTATGAGATTCGCGGAAAATTTATATTAAAATTAATTACCACGTTTTTTACTTTGTGAAAATATACGTGTGCCTGTGCATCAGCAAAGTTTGTGCAGTGATAAAGTTTTTGTGTCTCCAGTGCGAAATGCATAAAGAGTAATGCAGTGTCGCGCGCATCCTGTAACGTCATTTTGAAGTTACTATTCTAACATGCGCCGACGGCGTCGTCGTCATCGTTCGTCGTCGTGATGTAGTTACGACGTAGACCGTCTAGTGATATCACGTGTGACGTGCATCGACTAATAGTACGCGAACATACTGCTCGCGAGTTGCATTAACGTATAGGTGCATCTCAACTTCACGTGAAAAGGGTGAAAGTGCAGTGAAAATGCATCGGGTATCAAAAGAAGATTACGACTGCATTTTTTTCAACGGTTGGCCACTGGATGTGCATCGTATCAATTGCAACCGTCCCATCTCAGTTCCATGACTTCTGACAGTGTTTTGAACGCAGGTTTTTCTTTAATTGAAAATTTTTCAACAATTTCAACGTAACGTGGATACTTACAGTGCATTGTCTTTGTACGCGTGTGGTATATCTATAAGCATTGAATATCAATTAATTGTGGGGATAAAACGTGGGATTAATGTTTTTTTTTTTACTGTTTTATTCCGTATTTTTTAGTATAAGCTATTGAAGTAATTGTGTTTTTTTGTGTTATTAAATTTTTAAGTTTCAAGGGTCGAACTTGTCACGTGTTAAATATTGTAAAATAGTAATTTTTCAAAATATCATTCATTCGAATTGCTACTGCTGCTTGTGTGATCTGTTTGAAGGAGATTTAAAGTATTGGTCGGATGTTATCAGATACCCAGATGCTGCTTGGTATTTGAATTTGAAGTTTGTGGTGCACTTGTAATGTTATATCGTCGATAACAAATTGAAAATTGTATGCCGAATTTAAATAGTCTGTTACTTATACGGTTTAATGCTTGGAGCAGGAATCATGGAAAAATTCGTTTATTCGTTAGTAAAGATTGAATGAAGTATATATCTCAAGTGCATTTTTGGTCATACGCAACCTGCAGTTGTTCACAGGGACCAGGAAATTATGAGCGCTTTTTGCAACGGGGAATTGGGAAGTTGGTTTTTTAATCACGAAAACTTAGCATTGAGAAACTTTCTAGCTGGAAATTACATCCGGCAGGACTCGTGACCTTCGACTATAATATGCAGCAGGACACTGTTCGACGTGTAGAATATAATTAGGAACTACTTAGAAAATTCGGATGATTTAGGATTTTCGAAATTCTTTATCTCACGTCTCTGCTATCTTGTATCGATAGGTCTTCTTTATTAGGTTCATAAAGTTATTTTTTTCAAGAGTAACATTGCCTAGACACAGTAATTTTACTTACTTTTGTACAAAGAGGTGAAAACTTCTTGTACTCAAATATCTTGTATATAAGTGAAGCAATGCTTTTTTCTTTAAGTACATGTTTCAACTAAACGAAGTTAATAAAAAAATTTATTTTTGCTAGTTATTCAACCTTAGTTTAATTCGGGGTATTTATCGAGTAATTTAGTTATACTTAGATTAGTTCAGTCAGATATTATACTGATATCTTTATTATATTTCGAACTTATTCTATATCAGTATACTGAGTGCTTTTCTCGTGGGAATGACGACAGAAAATGAATTCCTGGAAGACTTCTCGGAGATGTGTCTGAACGAGGGTCTACGCATTGCGAGTCCACACGAGATACTATTGCGAAACAATTTGAAACATTGCAAGTGTATTATTCATCGACTGCTTTCGCAGGTGAAATTTTAAGTTTTAATTAAAAAAAAAAGTTAAAAGTTAAAAAACATTTCCTTAGAATCACGTACAATGAAAAGTATGTTCCATTAAAATATTTGTTGTAGTAAACTCCGATATTCCGCAGATATTAAACAAAATTGACAACTAACGTTATTGTGTAACATATTAATGGAGGCTTTAAAATAATATTATGTTCCACCGAGTACATTTCTCAGCTATTTCAGTCAGCCCTTAAATGATTCCCAAAGTTTACTATCATAATAGTAAGTCATAATATGAGTAATGATACCGATCTTTAGAGATTATAATTATATTATTTAAATAATTTTTTGTTTCTGGTTCCGATATTTTTTTATCATTAGAGCTCATCTATATGCTTGGACAAATTTGAAAAATTTGATTTCATGATTTTGAATAAAATGTACTAAGAGTAAAATACGATTCACTAGATGTTTGTATCTTTAATCAAGTGCCAGATAAAAAATGTATGCGTTGAATAACATATTTGGGTCTAGCATTGCTGCTGTGAAACGTAAAATTTACAAACGGGGTAAGAATGTTTATTTACACATAGCAATGTGCTACACTCGGAAAGATAACATTCTTACGAGCAGCAATTGAGATTGCTCTTAGTACTGTCAAAGCTGTTTACAGACCGCGTAACTTAGTCGCCCAAACATTATACAAATTTCAGTGTGCATATATACGTATATAATACGTATGTAGGTGAAAGTTACTCAAAGAAAAAACAGCATATATATTTTAATCCTTTCGTCGAATCTAATAATAAGAAAGTAATATTTTTGTTTTAGGAATTTTCTCAACTCACAAAGGAACTGACGGCGGCTCGGGAACAGGTCCTCGAGAGAGAAGAAGAAATTTCTGAACTCAAGGCAGAACGCAACAACACTCGGGTACATTTTATTTGCTGAGTTTAATTTAGATTTTAATTAAAACCTTGATACCAATATCTGATTAATTGATTAATACATTGATCTGATTAATACATGATTAATAATATCTAAGCTTCAATAACTCGTGTGATAACGGCATTTGGCTGTATCATAGATCTTCAATTAATTAACTTTGACTAATAAAGTCTAATTTTTGAAACATAAAGAACGACTTGGAGCCTGTAAGACTGACACTGGACATCGGGATTATTTTTATACGTATTAAATTATAGATGAAAGAATAATTAATTTTTTATTTAGTTTCATAATTACTTGAGTGTCTTTCTGAGATAATTGCAACATAATAACCAATTGGATTTTATATATAGAAACGTTACGAGGCTCACAAATAAAATGAACAGGATCTGTCAGACTTGAGTCCTGTAACTAAAGGTTCAGGGAAGTTTTAAACTTATGATTGATTACAGTTAGCAAGTATTCAGAAAACTGACTAAAACCGAATGGTTAAAACCAGTCTATTGTGGGTATCAGTGAATGAGTCCTATCTACTTATAAGCCCTGGTATTACATAGTTTGCTGGGTAAACAGCTGTGTAAATTATTATTTGCTGTTTGATTTATTGGATTGGCTTACGCATAAAAAAAATATGTTAATACCGTCCAATAATATCAGCAAAAGCATTAAAATTGTGTTAATTAAAATGAACGTTCATATCCAAATATAGAATCGTTTGTATCTTTAAATAAGCTAATGGAAAATATCACTTTTAGTAATCTTCCTGCAACCTTTTAGCTTATAGAGAAATTTATAATTAAAAAATATCATTGGTACGATCAGTAAAATGTACATTTTAAGATCGTATAAAATTCTTATAACCTGTTGGATTTACTTTAGATGGAAATTTTGTGAAGACCACAGTACGTATTTGATTACTAAGGCTTATCTAACCAAATAATTGGACCCTGAAAAAATCGAAATGTGTTGTAAAATATTGAGAACAGTCGGAAATCATAAAGGTTGTATTAGATACTAGAACTTTAGTTAAGGGTATTAGGGCTTAGGGTATATTCAAAGATCTAGATAATCCGTTGCTTTTTTCAAGTAAACTCTTCTAATACGGCTTGTAAATCAAGAAAATCTAATTTACGAAAGTGGGTAGTGTAGTTGGTAGTTTAAAAAAATTATCGGCATGATTTTCATATAATATCATTTTTACAGCTTCTGTTGGAACATCTAGAGTGTTTGGTATCTCGGCACGAAAGATCTCTCAGGATGACTGTAGTAAAACGACAAGCCGCCGCTCAATCCGGAGTTTCATCCGAAGTTGAGGTACTCAAAGCCCTCAAGAGTCTTTTCGAGCATCACAAAGCCCTTGATGAGAAGGTAATGTCAAAGAAATTTTGTAATAGTTTAAATTACAAAACGCGACAGTACCTTGTTACATTTTTATTAATACGTTGTATTGGCTGTTTGATGTTTCTTAAAAATTATTTTCAGGTTCGAGAGCGACTTCGCGTGGCTCTGGAAAGAAATACGACTCTAGAAGAGGAACTAGCCCACACCAAAGAAGAGGTAAGACTATCTTTCATGTTTTAAACAAAAATAACATTCTGCGATATCCGTAAGTAATATTAGTCTAATTATACGGTTTTTTTAAAAAGAAATTTAAATTCATACTTTAATTATTTTTTATTTTTTCTTTGTATTGAAAGGTGGGACATACCCTACCCTAGTAGAAATTTTCATCTGTAATCACAAGACCTGTCTAGACCTTACTGGGCCAGTATAGACTAACTAGACCTTCATGGATCCTCGATTTTTATAATGAAATCTCTAGTGGGGCATTTATTTTTTGATAGTTACAATTGCGTTTTCTGTTATCAAATTATTAAATAAACTGCCATTAATCGAGAATAGTTCTTTCAACTCTTATTAATACAATTTGTCTGGTTAGCGTTTGTTTTATATCGGATTATTTTGTCTTGCAGCTCCAACAGTATAAAGTGAGCGGACATGCTCCAAAAGCCATAGAAGATAGACCCAAAGAGAACGGTCAGCTCGACGACAGTCAACAAAATAAGGTATGCAGACGTTTACTCAAAAAAGTGCACTGGAACAAGTGCCTTAAAGTGAATGATGCACTCAGAAATCAAATGCATCATTCACCCGTATATACATGTATACACTCGTATATATATGTATACGTTGCTTAGTGTACAAGCGATTTCGAGTGTACGTTCACCGATGTACTTATGGAACTCTTTCACTGTGCATGATTATCCTTAGTGTCACGATATCTACGTTAGCGGCTGCATCGCTCTTTGGCAATCATTAATATACCTCACAAACACGCTCAGAATAACTAAATCATTCTTTCAAAATTCATCACATTTATCTCATCCTGTTACTTGTTTCTAACTGAAGATTGAATCACATTTACAAACATATTATTTTTATATCAATATATTATATCTAGGTCCAATATGATATATATATATATATATATATATTTAGAATAGAATTTTTAAGTCTAGCTAAGTGTATGGCACTGATTGTTTAAATGATTAGGAAATTTGTTTATAATAAAATATAGAACAAATCTCATTCATATAAATTTTTGATAATTGTATTTTACAACAATCCATTCCAAGGGAATCAAATTGAGTCATATTTTAATTTTTTCCTGATATTCATTTAAATCTCTTCAATGCGCACCAATTTTATTCATCTATTTCTTTGAATTTCATTTATACCATGTTTGAAAGACCAATCACGAGTTCACGAGAATATTACTGTATTTAGGCACGCAATCGTACCATGATATTCGTTTCTGATGAAAAACAAAAAAAAATGTAGAGAAAGTCGATATTTTCAATTCTATTTCGTTGAATCCCCATATAACGCGTTGCTCCATTCATATCCACGCTGTTCATCTCTAGTAGAAGGGAAATGGGTCAAGGGACCACGATCGCTAACGGGTGCAATTTCCGTTAAAATAGGTCAACGTTAAAGACTATTACTATCTATGAGTAGTGGATTTAGTTTACCTGAATTTTGCCGAATATTAAAACTAATCTTTCGTTAAAAGAAAACTTGCCTTTAATTCACATTTAAAAATAAGTCTGATGACTCGTTTGAAGATCGCTCGCGCAATCTAAGCAATAACACAAATCACAATAAAAATAAGAATCAAAGATTATGCACAACCAAAATGAGTCTTGATGACTGTATCTACATGGGATATTACTCATGACATTTCATTAACAAGGAGCTTACGCCTAGTAGCACGTACAATAGTTTTTAATCAGAACTTAGAAACTTGCACCATATAGAAACTAACAGCATATGGATATATTTTTATAATTGTCATTCATACAAAAATTCTGTTAAAACGAAATCTAAAAGTTTTATCTTCGAAATCATCTACAGAATGGCTGTTTTATCTAAAGTGACCAATGCTGACACCTTTTTTTTTGTGGCAACTGGTCAATTATAGAAATATATCAGTTTAGTAGTATTGCATGGTAGAGATCTTGTAGTATCTACGTGTGGAATTTGCGTGATGCGTGGCGATGCAGGACAGGCAAAGCGAGCGAGGCATTCTGAATGTAGTGTTGTGATCGGGCAGAGTCAGACCGAGCAGGCAGGAAGCCAACAGCAGCAGCAACCTGAGCAACAGCAGCAGCAACAACAACAGTCGCAAAAACTAGGTACAGAGAAGCCAGCCGAGATTGCCAGTAGACTCAGCAACGGCACTCTTGATCCCAACGACCAGGATTCCGCTGTTCGTGTTATTGACTTACAAGCCACACTTGACAAGCAGGTATGGAATTGCAATATGCCTGGTGAAGTCCAATGGAACTGTACTAAAGGACTTAAGGAACTTGTTCCTAGGAACGATATCTTTATAGATGGTACGAAGAGAATTTCTGTACGCATAACAGAGAAACAGGTTCTTATTAATCTTTGGACAGAACGAATCTATCCTTAAGTTTTCTTTAAAGACACGAACTTTGTTATGTTACCTAAAGATGATATCTGAGATCCCGTTTATACGTACGAGCTTCACTTTAATTTATCACTGAAATAGTCAATTATTCTGCATTTGATTGTTGGAATAAATATAATCATTTTTTTATCTGTGCCAAGAATTATTACACACATTTAATTTTATATCGGGTCAATTAGATAATACATTAGTTACATTTTTAATGTACAGATGTCGTGTTTGATTATTCATATATTATTAGCGATCGGTACATTGATTATCATTCATGACATAATATCAGCGATGAACCTTCCATTCATCATATACCATTGTAAGTATGGTATATGAGTAGTCGTAACTACTGATTAGATTTTATTCTGAGTAATTCGCAAGAAAGATATGGGATTGATTGATCGAGATTGACTTTTTTCAATGTAAATAGTATGATCACGTGATCTTTATTGTAGTCTATGATTAAAAATGTCTTGTGATCATTATTGTTAATCTTAAGATTCTGATAGTGCCCATGGCATGTTATATGGAATGACTACGTGTTACGCGTACTGTATTGGCATGATTATTACGTACGTATGAATCTTCCCTACAGACTCTTCGTATTAGTAAAGTGAGCTAAAGTAGATTTATTTAAATGATTATTATTAGCGACTGCATTCGAGTCACGTAGAAAATATATTTGACGTTACGCACGAGTTATTATTAACAAATTATATTGAATTCTGTTAACATTTCAGAGTTCTGAACTGAGCACATGGCAACGTCGGGTCGCAGAAATGAGTGGACGTGTCGCGGAACTCGAGGAGAATTTGTCGAAGGCGCAGAAGGACCTGTTGAAGACGCAAGAGACGAACGTTAAGTTGCAAAGGGATCTGCGTGAAAATGTTGCCCAGAAAGAAGATCAAGAGGAGAGAATCGCGACGCTTGAGAAACGTTATTTGAATGCTCAACGCGAGTCCACGAGTTTACACGATCTTAACGAGAAGCTGGAGCAAGAACTACAACACAAGGAAGCTCAGCTGAAGGTACAAGATCTCCCGCTGTTGATTAATAACGAAATTGAGAGCACAATAATTTGATAGCTAAATGAAATTTGCTTCGACGAAAGAAAAGTTATTAAAACTTTTCAATGGGCAAAAACGTAAAGATTTAACTGTATATTGCAGCTGGAAGGATTCCAGTTATTTTAACGAAATTCTTCTTTGGACGAGTAATGAAGTTTTGTGTTTTGAATTGCCGTCCCATCTTGTAAACGATCGTAAGCAAGGTATTGTTTGTACAGTTGCAGGAGGAAAAGATTGCTGCTATACAAGAGAAACTGGAACTGGCCGAACAAAAACTCGCCCAATATGCAAAGTTACCAGAAATGGAGGAGCAGCTGAAGCAGAGGATGGAGGCTCTGACCCAGGTGAGGAGGCCCAACCAGGTACGCAGGGGAATCACATCATGAACATGCCATAACTTCTTCCTTCACTTCTTTCTGACTGTCTGTCTCTCTTTCTGTGCTCGTGCCTGTGTTTAAAATTTGATTTTACTTCTTCATTTATTTGTCATTTCATTATCATCGTGTCTCTCACGTCTGATTTAATTGTGTTTCCAAAAGAATGTCTACTTTATATCTTTTTTTCTTTAGAAATGTTCTCTTATTCAATTCTCGTTTAGAACTACTGTTTATATATACTAAGCGACTATCGCCCTTTTCCATTCATAAAATCGAACAAATTTAATTTTGTGATTGATTTCTTGATCAATTTTTTTCGCGTTTATTTTATAGACAATTATAATATTAATCTTGTCTTAATATTCTATTTGCTTATATAGATTTTTTGTTGTTTAATAAAAATCAGAGAATTTTTTTTTATTTAGATGGATTATATTTTCGACTAGATTTACAGTGGTAGTATAGATTTTATAGAATAGATCCTAGAACACGTTATTAGAAGAAATTTGTATATATTGGAAATGAATTCTAATTTTTTAACAATTCACTCTCTGTGGGCTTTCGACTCTATACTGTTCAAAATGTACTATAAGAATATTATATACTGTTCTGTATAATGTTAAAAAGAGTTGTATATTTCCATGAAAATTATATATTCGATGGAACACCTAATAGTTTATCATAGTAATATTGTTCCTACCAAAGAATGAGAAATACATGAGGATCGTATTGAAGGTTGATTTATTGAAAAAAATTAAACAGACAGAATTAACCAATTTATTGAAAGAATCAATCGAATTCATTAGACAGCATATATTTTAAGTTAAAATTCATAAATCCTATCGAACATTAGATAATATTCCCATCTTGTTGATACGTACATGGTTTAAAGCGGAATGAAAGAAATGCGATTTTTTGTGATTTCCATTTTAATCGACGTTCAAATTTACTAAGCAGGCTCAGGAGAGACACGGTAGTGCGGAAGACCGAATTCAAAGACTGGAAACGCAACTCGAGGAAAAGAATGCCGAAGTGATACGTCTAAATCAGCGTCTTAAAATGAATGAAGAGCACAACAGTCGCCTTAGTACTACTGTCGATAAACTATTATCAGGTCAGCTGATTTTCATACTAAATTTAATATTAAATTAGATATATTGTTTGTTCAATATTGCATTTTAATAATATCTTCCATACAGAATCAAACGAGAGGTTACAGGTGCATTTGAAGGAAAGAATGCACGCTCTTGAAGAGAAGAATGCGTTAACGCAAGAACTAGAAAAGACACGAAAAATCGCAGAGGATCTGCAGAACGAAAAGGCAGAAATTGTCAAGGAGTTAGGAAAGGCGCGGCTAGAAATTGACAATGTGAAACGACAAATGCTTCAGCAAGAAATCGCTTTTAATATTCAACAAACCGACGCCCTTACAAGAAGCCTTTCACCAAATGCTGTCGATCCGGGTAGTTTTTCGAGAAGCGCAAGTCACAGCAGTTTCGATACGCATTCATTGCCACGAAGAAGTGCTAAGAGGTCAACCATGGAGGAGGACTCTGCTAAGGTACATCGAGTCTTATAAATTCTCATTGTAATTATTTCCTTGACTGGATCTTTAAAAATATCTAGATTCTTCGAATGATAATTCTTATATCGTAACAGTAACGATGAATCGTTATTCGACTATTGTATTTTAAATTAATCTTCTTCTTTTTCAGAGTTATGTAGCTCGCACGTTAGCTGAACAGGAATGGGAAAAGTTGCAACAGGCTCACGTGCTCGCAAACGTTCAGCAAGCTTTCGACGTTTCCAGCGATGCTGAAGGAGACGGCGACAACGAGAGTATTTTTAGTTCCGCAGCAGACGTCATCAGTCCAACTGGACACACCGACGCCCAGACTTTGGCTTTGATGCTTCAGGAGCAGTTGGACGCTATCAATAACGAGATTAGACTTATCCAGGTAATATAAAATTATTCCAATGCCTTTTATATTTATAAGTCCTGTTATAATCAAACTTTATACTTGTACTCTCGATATCATACGGCTCTAAAATAATTCGAGCGTCTCTTGTTGTATAAATTTTTTCCCTATTGAACGTCACGGTGAGCATACTGGCAAGGAAGAAATCAATTGCATTTATAAAGTCTAGAGATCTGAAAATAGCCTGCCTTACATTCAGCCTATGATATTGTTTCCTTTCTTTTTTATAATGTACAGAAATGGGTTTTATTGGTAAGGAGGTCAATGAGATATCAATTATTACTATTTCTAGGAAGAGAAGCAGAGCACAGAAGCAAGAGCGGAAGAATTGGAGTCCCGGGTTGGAAGCTTGGAGCATATGAATTTATTGGCTCGTGGTCGCAGCCTCGAGAGAGCATCTCCTCCGCTCAGTGGGCGATCTACTCCAAAATCCCATCACAGTCCAAATAGGGACTACCTGCACAAATATCATACCGTAAGTATCAATTATGTTGCGTGGAACGATTTAAGTTTTCGCGCATTTCTTTTGAAATCGTTTAACGATTTCTTGGTGACGTGCTGCATGACTTTTTTTTATCATCTTTTTTTTTCGTGAAATGACTTATCATCATCGACGAAACTATTCATTACATGACGTTTCGACAGACTTCCCTTTGTAAATAATAATAATAATGTGTGGGTCGTATTCAATTATCTTTGGGATTTCGAGTTTGTTGTATACATATATGCGTTCCTTTTCTTATTACCATTTAATGACTTATCCTATTCTGGTGGCCTTACTTCTTACGTCCTTCAACCATATAGGCATACGTAGAGGTTTTTCAATATCATAAAATACGTGAGTTTTCAGAATTTATTAATTGCGTCATAAGCTGATGTAACTATCGATATAATTATTGTTTCGCCGCGCTAATCAAGATTCATTCTTTAGTGTAAAACATGGATGTATCTTTTTTGTCCTTCAATTTCTCTAGTTGAAGGTTAATACTAGTTTGTATCTTTTTCTTTACACCCATGCAATCTGGCTAATTGTAAGAGATTGGAGCATTGAGATAACGAAGCTGTTTTAAAGATCCATGATATCACTATGAGACCAATGATTTCTCATTACGTGTCTTGGAGCGTACTTCTATGAGAAATGTCGTATCAGTAGATTTTGAAATTTTGCAAATTCAGTTATCGACAAACGGTTTGGTGGACGTTGATTTTGGTGTTACAGGCACCAGCCTCAATGTCCCCAGCACACCTTCATCAGTACGCTGCTTCTCTAGCTAGTCCAGGACAACTCTCCGAGTCTCTTCCTGCGAGCCAGGTTCGTTGGACACCTGAACTTTATGACAAAGAAGTCCGCAATAGAAATCGGTTTACGAGACAATCGCAAAAATTACAATTAAGAAATACAATGGATCCAGTCCAGTAAGGCACTTGGTTGGACTAATGGAAGGAATAATTTTTTATTTCACATTGCTTTTGGCATATTTCTTATTTTTATTAGCGCTATTATTGTCAGTAGGCACGACAGGCTATTTAATATTATATCATTACTTTTTTACATATTTTCATTCGTTCGCTTCATATCCGATTGATCTATTAACATCAATGATTCATCATCTATAAATGATACGCTTGAAAATATGCATGACTAACATCACGAGGAATTTTTAGAAACATGAAGTAGTGTAGGAAAATTCCTAACAGTAACGCATCACATGAAACAATAATCTAGTTTTAAATAAAATAAATATTTTTATAATGATTTGAAATTGTACGGTTAGTTCCTATTCATCGTATTGAAAGTATATGCGAAGAATATAAATCCACGGTATTGCCGTAAATAACGTTTATGAATTTTGTATAATGTCAAAATAATTAATTCCATTGCAATAGAGCTAGAACCTCCATCATAACCTCTTACAATTAATGCATCTTAATCTTCAATGGTACCAAAGCAATCCATCTATTTTTATGCTTCAAAGAGTTACTCTGATAGTAGATCTTGGTTGCAGTCTTCTTTGCCAACTTTTTGTTTTTAATATTATTATTGTAAAAGGACTTTTGAGAAAAGGACACATTTTAAATAAAGCTTACTAATTTTTCTGTGATTCCTAACAAAAAAGATATAATGCTTTCTGCCTGTGGCAGCTGCAGTTGTCTGGTGAGGAACTGCATTCTGTAAGTGAGAGGGACAGCACCGGAGGTGCAGGAAGTGCCGGAAGCGACGCAGCATCCCCATTAACTGCCAGATCACTAAGGCTCGAACGAGTAGTTCAAGCGTTGGCTCACAGTCAAGAGGAATTAAGAAGGTATCAGATCTTTATTTCTTATACCATACTAACTATAGCGACGAATTTTAAAACGGTAATTCAAAGTATCATCGACATTGGCTATGTTGATATCCCAATGGTCATAATGACGATTCGCAACTAATATGACAAAATTTGCATTATACCACCTCAAGAAAGTGTGTACCACTTTTGGTTAAAAAAAAAATGGTACCGTTCATTTTGCATTGGGGTGATCATTGAATTTTTTGCTACCCGTTTTTGTGAAACACTTACAGATACGGCAGATTGAGTTATCTTAAAATTTTTGAAAAATGTATTTTTTTTGCGTAAAATATTTAGTGCAGACTATTATTATTAGAGCTTATTTGCTTAAAATTCGCACATTGCACCTCTTCTGATCTGTCGCATCTATAAGACTGTATATTGGCGAACACGAAATATTATGAAAACAAGCATTCTTTTCGGAACTTAATAATTTGCAAAAAAAAAGTCTACAAGAGAGTTTGGTGTTTGATCGCAATGTTTCTGATGTAATATCTTTTGATCTAGAACTATCTCTATGCTTCGCAATATTGATAGAAACGCACGATAGAAAAGAAAACAATGCATCACTCGCTTTTGCAGTACGTGATTAATTTAATCTGTTGCATTCAGACACTAAACAATTCATACATCCACAAAGTATTGTGCGCGTGCTAAAGATGCAAATTAATGAACTGTCACATATCATTACACCTGATCAATTAATTCACGGCAAATCAGTAATTTGCATCTATGGCGGAATCTTTAGTAGATTTATAAAAAAGCAAGCACGATAAGAAAGGCTTTGACAAATATCAGTGCTGATAAAGCTTAAGCAAGATCTTTCGGTTGCTAAAGCTCTTCTGCAATTGGTTGTTACTCGAATTCGCAAATTTGTGGTATTGTCAATATTGTGAATTGTCCATGCCGCCAGACGCACGGGACAAAGTGGATTTTCTAGCAGTGGCTTCTCCGCGAACAGGTTAATTAACAATTCTAATATTGCATGCACACGGTATGCGCACGTGCCGCAGTGCGCCGTAAATCAAAATGGTCACGCAAAGGATCTCGTCCTCGAGGAAAACCTACCTAGCAATCGTCACGGTAATAGAAAATGTCTTCTACTGTCACTTTTAAGTCTTCCGACAGAGAATTACACTGGAATAGTTTGAGATATTTGTACGTACAATGACAAATGTATATTACACATTAATGGCTCATGCTTGAGATATTCACGAAAAAAAAAAAGATTCCATTGTCTGAAATTGAGATTTGACGTTTTTAGTAAAATTGGTCATTCTCTTGCGGAAGCTAATAAAACAAGCTGAATGAAAACTATTCCTTGATAAATTCTTAGTGGTTAATTTTTTTTTTTTTGGGAATTTATCTCCGGTCAAAAGAAATGTCCGTGGTTTCTATTTACGGGCACAGCGGCACGGACGAAGAACCTGATAGATACGAATTCTTGGAACCAATTGATAATAGCATCTTCCAACCGTCGTACGTTCAAGCCTGTCCCATTCACGACAGACATCGCTGTCTCAGGCAGACCAGGGAACTTATGGAAACGAGAAAATTGCATGGGACGTCACAAAACATGCTTCGGACAAGGTTCTTTTCTGCTTACGAATTACAAAGGTGCAGACGGAGCGATATCATTATTAATTTTTTTCATGCCGTTTTATAATATAATTTTTTTTGTGAGCATGAAAAAAAAATTAGTGACATATTTTTTAAATTATTAAAAATTGTTAACTAAGAGTATGTGAATGAGGGCCAATAATTTCAATAAGGCTAAAAATACAGAAATACATTTCTTTATTTGTTAGTCGTTGTTTTTTTATGTTACTTGTTAAGCGAAGTATGCCCTTATTACCGTAATTCATTTTTTTTTTTTTTTTTTTTTTTTTTTTTTTTTTTTTTTTTTTTTTTTTTTTTTTTATATGAAACAATCGTGGCGATTCTTTCTACACCTTTGCAATTCAGAAATTTCCGAATATTGTAAGGCGTACCCATCTCATAAACAGTAATCAGCCATATTTCCAGGTTTTTGTGCCTTACGTGTAACTCCGAGTAGGTATTATTGCAAAATGTTTCAGTATTTCTCTCTTTTTGTTATTAACTTTTGATACAAAGTATTTACCAATGTATCAGACGTCCCTGGAAGCAGAGGTTTCTAAAATTTCAGTAGAATGTGGTTATCCAATTTTTTCCATTAATGTGAAATGTTGTTTATTTCTCTAAAAAAAAAATAATTTTATCAAAACTTGGTTACAGCTTATGTTGTGTAGTTCTATGTCACGACTGAGCAATTGAACATTATTGACTTGATTTTGGTTAAACGAAACAATTGAAAATTCTAAGATATACTTCAAATCCTCAATGCTAAATTGACTATTAATTTATAACAATCACAATAATTTGTTTCAATTATATATTTACAAATTACAAAAGAAAGGATCTGCTATTCCACGGACTCATACGTATAGTTATTTCATTAATACGGCTATTCGATGCGCATTAGAAATATGCTTTCGCCATTCTTCATAATGACAGCATTATTGTATAAATTAGCAATGACGTAATTTGCAATTGAGAAGTAATATGCAAATCTAGTACAAAATACATTTTCATGTAGTCATAAAACCTATGAAGCTTTAATATATCAAGAAAAAGAAAGCTCCACGTATCTTATCTTTCAATATTACAATAAATATAAATTTAACTACTAATTGTTTCAACTCCTTGTCGCAAAACTGTATGTATTTAGTTACAATATTTCCTAACATCATTAATATACACTATGGCTTGGAGTCTTTTTCGATTTCTGTAAGTTCCCTAGTCATGCGCCCAATAATGTACTCTTGAGAAATCCAGTGAGTCCTCCGAAACGTATGAAAAAGCTGCGTACGACATTATGCTATTACCTCGAATTTTCATAGTGAATAATATTACGATAAAGTATATACATATAAGACAGACGTGCCAGATGATTTCAGACATCCACGAAAGTTTAGTCTCATAGTTAATAAAAATATTACAAGACGTGGCGAATTGGAAAGAAATCGATAAATAGAGCATATAACAATAAATAGTGTACTATAAAGTACAAAGCATATTGTACTGTAACGATCGGCATTGCTCTTTTGTTTCCTTGCAAAATATATTTTCATGAAACGCGATATGCACTGTAATAACGTTATGGTCACTCTACCTTACTTTTCCAGTGTCCAAAGAAAGTCTATTGCTTGCAGCGCTTGGAAAATGAAAGTTTCAGTTTTTCTATCAGCTTTAATAATGCATTAATCTATTATGACACAAGCACGTAAACAATGCTTCCATTGTATTTTTACCACTCATGACAATTGGCCATGACAATTTGTATGCATGTAAATTGAACATCAGTTGTGAAGGAGGGTGTCGCACTTGTCATAAACATCACCAGGAACACTCGTGTATTTAAAGGCGCTTACGATATCTTTTCAATCACAATGCACATCCATTTACACGTATCTCTCGAGGACGTCTGAAATTATCCTGCGCACATAAAGTCACATGCTTAATGACCGTAAAAGCCTAGTACTACGAAGCGTGCCGCAAGGAACGCAGTAGCAGTCGACTAGAGTAGAACTAGAAACTAGATTAGCGCTCCATGCAGCAGGCATGGGCATCATAACAACGGCGCTCTCAATTCTGGGACTCCCCCTTCCCCATTGTCCTCACGTCACAGTAGCCAGGACAGTTTGCACAAGAACAACTTGAGCGGAGTCGGGCTACCCATTGGACAGTTATCGAGCTCTCATTTGCACATGCAAGCGAGCATGAGTCCGGCTACAGCTGCGGCGGTTGCAGCTGCGCAGAAAAAGAAGGGCATCAAGAGCAGTCTTGGCCGATTCTTTAGCAAAAAAGACAAGGTATGGTTGGTTTGAGGATTTTTCTAAACTTCTTTCTTGGTCATGTTAAATTTTATTTAATGATCTTCGTAATTTTAATTTTTGGAAAGTTACGTAAATCTTATTACTGGGTACATTTATAGATCAAAGGGAAAGATACCACGATGCCTGGGGATGTTCCGGGTATGGGTGGTGCAAACACACCTGCAGATCCAGACTATGGAGATAATGTTTCCTTAGCTGGAACACTCGGTGGTAAGAGTGACTTTGACCGCAGGAAAAAGAAAAGGTATGTCTATGGAAATATTTAGATTTTTTTTTTATACTAGGTATGTCGATGAAGGTATATCTAGTGTTATTGCGATGCAGGAAGGTCATTGCAATTGAACATTTGATTGAGAACAGAATGGTTTGAGTTTTTTTATGAAATTATTTACATATTTTATATTGAACAACGGTTTTGGCTTTCGCTGTAAAACGTAATGCAGAAAATACGTCACTCTAAGATTTACTTAAGAATTTCATATCCACAAGATTTGGCATATGGGCATTGTTTTAGTTCTAATATATTTGATAGCATGTTGGACTCGTCACGGCATGAGCTGTTGGCAGAAGCAATGAAGGCTGGAACACCGTTCGCTCTTTGGAATGGACCCACGATAGTTGCCTGGTTGGAACTCTGGGTAGGAATGCCTGCCTGGTACGTTGCAGCATGTCGAGCAAACGTCAAAAGTGGTGCTATTATGAGTGCTCTCAGTGACACGGAAATACAACGTGAGATTGGAATTAGGTAAGGATTTAATAAAGTTTATAGGCCAATATTGCTAACGTTCATATACTACAAGTAGCGGCAAGCAGTTATAAAAGTACTATGTCAAACAGTGAATCTTTATAAAGAAACAATCTCACTATATCATAATTTTGAAAAATTAAATATTGGACTGCTGTGTTGAACTAAAAAAATCAATATTCGATACGTACTAACGACACGTAATCTTTGTTTGAAACTTCTGCTTGGGACGTATATGATACATTTTTTAACAATTTACTAATTCAATATATTGTTTTTGAATAGTAATCCTTTACATCGGCTGAAACTCAGGCTAGCTATTCAGGAGATGGTTTCTTTAACAAGTCCATCCGCACCAAAGACATCGCGCACCACTTTAGCCTTTGGAGATATGAACCACGAATGGATAGGCAATGTTTGGTTGCCCAGCCTTGGATTGCCTCAGTACAGGTCCACTTTCATGGAGTGTCTTGTCGATGCCAGGATGTTAGACCATCTTACTAAGAAAGATCTTCGTGGTCAGCTTAGAATGGTTGACAGTTTTCACAGGTAACTTTACTCATTTATTTTTAATAAATTAAATACCTAATGATTTGAAGCAATGAAATCTTAGATAATTTTAGAATCTATTTATCTTTTGATGTTGTATTTTTAACGTATGCTATGTATTTATCCGCTGCTTCTACATATTTCAGAACGAGTCTGCAGTACGGAATATCGTGTTTAAAAAGACTAAACTATGATCGACAACAATTAGAAGATAGACGGCGAATGGCGGAAGGAGCAAATGTCGATGTTCTCGTTTGGAGCAACGATCGCCTAATAAGATGGGTGCAGTCAATCGGCCTGAAGGTACGTGAATGCGATTGGCTAAGAAAAATTTGTCAATGTAATTTCAAAATGTATGTGCTAAATGATATGGAGTCTTTAAATATTCCTTTCATGTAATTTATTGTAATTTAGGAATACGGGAACAATCTCTTAGAGTCTGGGGTACACGGCGCCCTGATAGCTCTCGATGAAAGTTTCGATGCCAATAGCTTTGCTCTGGCCTTGCAAATTCCGACGCAGAATACACAGGTAGGTATATTATTAAATAAATAAGGATTCTCGAATTTTGCCCTTTCCGTGTTTACATAGTTGTCGCGAACGAGTGTACAAAATAATATATTATTTCAGGCAAGGCAATTGTTAGAGATGGAATTCTCTAACTTGCTGACAGTCGGGACAGAAAGGCGGCCCGAAGAATCGAATAGCATGAATTCCTGATCGAGTTCTTCTAGTAGACTGCCACATCTCCACCCTCATCACGTCTAGTCCAAAGCCCCAGCTATTACTACTATCTGTGCGCAAGTGTGTTGTAACTAACAGTTGTAAGAGCTTTAAGTATCACTTCTAAGGGTATCGTCACGCAGTCGCGAAGGAGAACCGCGTGACATAATGATATGGTACCGTATGAGAGAAAGAGAGAGAGAGAGAGAGAGAGCCATTATCGTGAAAAAATAATTCATACCTTTCTCCATAGAGTGCAGATAGCACTACGATAGAAAATACGGTGAACCATGTCTTATGGCTTAGATAATTTATTAAATGGATACATTGTTGTCGGTAATAGGTCCATCTTAAAATAGGAAAACATACGATTTAAAATGTCAAAAGTGAGAACAATATTTACACGAACGCGATATCTCTGGCTAGTCGGATTTTCGAAACTTGCAAGTCATCTGCACGGACTTTAATTTAGTTCTACGGTGTATGTAGTATAAAGGAAAAGCAAAAATAATACAATAATGAGAATTGGTTATGTAACCCGTACTAGCTGTTTATCGCACATCTCTTAAAAGAGATTACCTTCAGCCTCTCTCTATGTTTTCCTAACGTTCGATGTACCTAACCTCTGAACTGAGGATACTGTCGCGACGCTATTTAGCCGTTGCAGTGGATGGTCGAAGTTGCCGAAGAGTTTCTTTGCGTCGCGATTATAAAGGCGAGACGAGTAGCGATTAAAAAGTGACGTTCAACGGATGCGTGGAAATATCAGCGAGATTAGTGACTTCCTTAATTTTCTTATACGAGATTTCAGATTTCGACGACGACAATAATTCCGTCTGGTTTCGAGACTTTCGCACGGGATGCACACAGGCCGCATATACCCGACAGCAACCATTAGACTGTAGTAATAATAAATTCTTCATCGCTGCATCTTGTTATCGCATCCTACTGTATTATATCATGTATTCATAATCCACGTACATATTAACGAGGCCCGACGCCCAAGCACCGCACAAAGTTAAGTCGAACAAATTTCACTTAATCGGTCACTACCATATGGGAGTTGACCTCTAAAATGCTCTCCCGCCATCCAACGTCCGTTGAACGCACGAAGAGCCATGTTACGTGCATAGGTACATACATTCATATATGCACACAGTCATATATGCTCACGACATATACATTATATATATATACAAACACACACACCGATACATGCATATTTACATACTTTAAGTTTTGCGGAAGAAAGTTTAAACAATCTCCATTTTTTTTTGAGTTTATCTCCTTTCTTTTTCTGGTCTTATTGAAGCACTTTTAGTGCTCGTAAAAATAAGAATTCAAAGGATCACGCAAGATATAATGTATACTTCAATGAATATGTCGATAGACGTCAGGATTTCGAAATAACGCTCGTGTCCTCTTAAGTTTTCTTAACTGTCCTTTTTTTTCTTTTTTCTTTTGAAAATGCTTACAAGTTCGAGAACGGAACACTGACATTTTTGTACCAAACTATTTGAGTGGCATCGAAGTGTGCGATACGTATGGTAGGTGTTATTCAAGTAAAATGCGAACACATGCGTCATGTAACTGAAACACTAACGGTCGATCGCACTTTGTGACTGCATAATTGTTTAAACAAAAACAAGATACGTGCATATGATAAATAGTTAGATGATACACAACCGAGAATTGTAATTCCGAGTGGGAACCTATCTATCTGGAAATATTCTAATCGATCTTTCTTGTACTTTTAATTATGGCAATGCAATGATACGGTAAATGATGCTCGTGTAACGTGTGACTGTTAGTGTACGTCACGTTGACTATGATCAAGTGGTATTACATGGAACGATATAAATTTTGTTTGAGAAGTACATAACTGTCGAATAATCCAAAATAATGATCGATTTGTCATGGTGATTTCTACAGTTTTATTTCTGAGTTTGCAATTAAAAACGATTAAATACTATGAAAAAACAAATTCGGTACTCGTGATGATGCGTTACATATAATTCTTTTTTAACCTGTTGAATATACAGATTTCCGACGATTTATTTGATAATGGCGATTTCATTTATAATGAATCGTTAATATACTTCATTTGTGAAGACGTAATGCGACCGACGCATTTACTTCTCAAGGATTTTGAAAACAAACCCGCACAAGAATGTCTTAATTCATTAACGGTCGACCGACGGTTAAAATGTGGTGGCTAACGAGAAAACCAGGAAAGAATATAAATGCCGTGAAATTACAGGAAACGTGTAATTATATATTAAAAGTAACGATGACGATCATTATGAAAATGAATGGCAGTGACGACGAATGTAGATGATCATGATAATTATAATTATTACGGCACGGAACGAGAAATGAGTGATGCTGACAGCGATAATGAGGATGATAGCGATGCCGTAAGTTACGATGCTGATTGTTAATGTTGTTGATACTTGAGGAAATCATTGTTGTTGATGTTTGTTTCCCCGCAAGCTAATTCATTCGTTGTAAAACCCTCGTCCTAGATGACTCTCCGAACGAGTGTAAATTCACGATTAATTATTTCTATTTCCGTACCGGTTATCAATGATTGGGAAACGGAGTTGTCAATGTATCATAGAAGAGAAACAAGATCAGTCAAAGCAAAGAATAATGAATTAAGATGGACAATAATGATTTTTTAACAATAACTCTTTCGTGACTTTCAGAGCTACGTGAACACTACTAATTTTCCATATCTTTCCTGCATTACCTTGTCTATTTTTCATTACTATGTACATCGGCCCTATGAAAAAGAAAAGAAAATGAATCTGTAAAGAATATCGTAATTTTTCACACGCTCGGAAGAGTCCGTGGCGCATGTAAATGACTGAAATTATTTTTAATCGTACGCTAGCTAATAGTGTCTAATAGACATTCCACATTGATAAATGATAAAAAAAGAGAACCTTCCAAAAGTAACCACATCCATAACCACATACATAAATGTGTACATCGTGAAATGTTTGTAGCAGCACGATGCAGTCGATGTACTTAATTGTAAATACACTCGTAGGTGCGACAAGTTTACTAAATTACTCAAAAATACCTGGATCTTACACTTCAAAAGAAAAAGGATAAATCGTTTGAACAGCAGCGGAAATGTATTTGTATCCAACACTACAATTCACTTGAGGTTTTAGTGATGTACTACATATAAAATGTCTGAAATGTTCGCTGTACTATTTGTTTACCTCTGACTTGCCTCATCTACGATGATGTATTCCGAATCGATAGGGCTATTGTGTCCTGGTTATGGAAATAAGATCGACAACGTAGATTGTGAATATTTACGGGAAATTCAACAAAACAATAACCAAACAAGAAGAAGGAAAATCTTAAATTTTTACGTGATGCCAGAGACGAATATTCTGATGTTTGAATAAGGAACGACTTGCTTGAAATGAATGAAGGGAAGATACATTTTTGATTTGGGACGAGATATCGTAATATCGAAAAAATGATTCGTGCATTACCTATAGCGATTTTTATTTCTTTATTTATTTAGTGAGTGGTTTTTGTTTTCTTTTAGTAGTCGTAAATTCACTCGGGGAAAAAAATTTTAACTGATTATATCGAAGGAGTCATCCATTTTTCAAACGCGTCGTGCAGCTCGATTCGCGTCGATTGAGAATCCATTTTCGAAAATTTATATTTCGTTTTTCGAAATACATGCAGCACAGATACATCCTTAGACGATATTCGTATATACTTTTACATATATGATGTAATTGACTTGTTACCAAATCGGGAGTGACTCTGGCAAAGAAAATAAGGAAGGTATTTTTGTAATTTTATTACGTTCGAGCTGTGTTAAAAAATTTTTCGTTTTCATCTTGTACCATGTGTATCATCTCACAGAATTACCACAAAAAGGACCATATACCAAAAGGGGATCATCCATCTCTATTCTGATAGACCGAATTGTTTGAAAAAAAATTTAATTTGCTAATTTTTAATTGTCCATTTGAAATTGGAAAGGAAAAATGTGTACTATGTAAGCATTTAGGAAGTTAAGCTTTTTTTTTGAACCCACGACAGACTGATTTCATTATCGATCAAATTATAATTTTTCTATTTACACATAAGAATGAATTTTGGTACCTATACACCTTACACGCAGTTCGTAACATTCCATGCTTAAATTAAATTATCACTACCCATTTTTTTTTTTTAAAATTCTTAATTCTTCTCCGTACGAACGTCGTAGAATGGATTACTGAGTAGGAATCAAAAATATTGAATACGCATATCCAGTAATTAGTAAGATGAGGATTTTAGAATCGATTATGAAATTTAAAATACACAACATCACAATCAAATGATTATGCTTTACAATTATTTACATTTTTAATGACGCACTATTTACAAAACATTTGTTTTAACGAATATATTTTACAGTCGTTACACGTAAAAAAAATCATTAATCAATTTGATAAATTTTATATATTGACATGCTTATTTAGATGTTGATATAACTTGCCAATGTCTATGACGTTATTTTTTTCATGCACTTTGAATACGTATGAGAAACTGAATCACAAAATATACATTAACGAACAAATGTACTGAATTTTTTAATTTTACTTAATCTATTTGACTGATCGATTTGACTAATTCGCTTCAAATTTTTTTTTGTTAATTTTTCCCCCACTAATTCTTATTACTGAAAGCATTGCCTTTTTTTGTCTATTTTCCGAAATACAAGTTGGAGACATACGATTGTTGCATAGAGAGAAACAATTTTAATGCATACAAGATACACGTTGTTAATTATTGGAATAATTGAATAATTTAATAGAAATCATTAATAGCATATAGAAAATATTATGATATATAGAAACACGTCATACATATCATCCGTTTGCTTTTACATATTAAGCCCATGCGACAGTTTTCGAGTATTTTGTTTTGATTTTAGTATTTTTTGAAAGGAAGGAAAGGGAAAAGGTTATCCGAATGACTTCACCTAAGATCATGCATTTATTCGACGTATTATATGCGATTTACGTATTTTTTTTTCGGACTCGTCTTTAAAGCGTTAAAGGTACCGACGAAAGGCGAAAATTCAAGTTTTAAGGTAAATAGTCAATTGTACTAAACGATTACGTTTGTGGAATACGAACAAAATATGTTATTGTAATTCAGAGTCAAATTTAATTTGTAGTCTAGGCGCTTCGAATGCAAACGTTTTTACGTTACCAATGGTATATTATTATTACCAGTATCATATACGAATAATGGTTATTGCGCGACTTATTAAGACTTGCGACATAAACACGGAGATACTGTGTGTAAAATTAATTGTAAGTTATCAAACAAAGAAAATGATTCATCTTTCAACTGTCATTGACCATTGTTAATCGTAGTTTTAACATGTTTGCTCATATCCTAGTATAACTAAGTACAAGTTTGCGTTTAATTCTTTGAGCACGTTAAGCCGTTATTAAGTTGCTGTATAGTGTTTCAAAAATACTGATATCATTAAATCACCATCAACCAAAACTCTATGAACTCCTTTTTTTATAACGATTAGTTAACTGAGACATTTTTTTCAATTATTTTTTCTATTTCTTTTCCAATTAAATTTCCTTATGTCCCTATCTTTTGAAACAGCTTTCACATAATCCCCTAATATGATTGATGTATCCAATTATTTGATTGTCATATATATTTATTTATATCAATCAATCATACTCATCCGTCATAACGTCATTCGTTTCCATTACTCTTGCGAAAGTCAAATTTGTAAACTAAAACGCACGATTTGCACTCACGAAGCTGTTTTTTGTTGTAAATGTAAATTACAAGAATACAATTTTACAGTTCTCTATTTATCTTAGAACTGGACTTGGGAAAGAAAAGAAGAACAGAAAATAATATCCGGAATTGAAATAGGTGGTCGAAATTATTTTCATTCATTTTAGACGTTAAGGATTTTAAATGTCGTGTTGCGATGTACTGTGCTGCGTTATTAATGATGAAAACTAATTAAAATCCAAATTGAAAGAAAGGAGTCTGTGTGAAATAGGCGCGAGAGCGTCAAAATTTTATTGAACATTATTTTCGCTCAACTTCTATATCTCAGTCAACTCTGTCGTTGTTAATCGATTGTCGTATGACTGTTACTAGAAACTTTACGCATTAACACAGGACAAAACTCGAGGAAAGGCAAGTTTTACACGTAAACTTTTATTACACCTTATATACTTACGTTGATTTTTCGATGCTTTGAAAAATGTCTTAAATTTTGCGCAACTCGTCAGATCGGCCAATGCAAGTCTCTGTCAAATCTCTATGAAGTAATCACTTTTCATCACAGTGAAACTAATTTATATCGTTTTCGATTGAACTATACGTCGACTCCGTTCGGTGTATTTTTGTTCTCTACTGTCGCACGAGGACAAGTGAGACAGAGATAGACTAAGTGGAGCTAACGTAAATGGCGTGGGTTCAATCGAAAACGCTGTAAGATTCTTGAACTGAAAAAGCGTGACCGAACTTATGCAAGGTTATTCACAAGAAACACATCACCTGATGTTAACCTGTCCATTTGATTTCCATGATAGAACCATCTTCAGGTGATGGATTTGTCGTGAATATATACGTATAACCTGGTGATACCTAAAACGGATAACGAATTAATAATAGATTATCAGGGAAAAGTTACTGTTTTTGAACTTTCAATGTATTATATATCTTATACATGTACGATTAGGAAACTGACCGAAAACGCGACATGTTATGTATAATATTGTTTAAATTAATCAAGCACTCGTTACAGAAATTTCACTAAGAAAAAAAAAATGAAATTGAAAAGGAAGCAAAACTCTGTTATCGTAATTCTTTTTATATCGAACGTCTAGCAGTATTTTATACATTCCTACGTATTAGATATAAGTAAAATCACATTTGAGCCCATATCTATTTGCCATTTTGATTGCGGCTGGATAACGTCACGATCATTTTTTCTCGAATTTACCGTTTTAATCTGTAACATCATCCCGCTGAACGTGACATGAGAAATTTTTCACTACAACCCAAACACGCCTTGCGCCCAGTCAACTCGAAAATTCGGTGACACAAAACACACAACAGCGACGCAAACCCACGTGCCGAAGATTAGGCTGTACTAGGCCAAAACAAACAGTGACTCGGAAAGAAACAAAGCGCAAACGAAGAGAAGAAAATCTGGCATGAAGATTCGTCAAACGAGTACAAAAATGGATAGACTTCGTAGTCGAGAAATCATCGAAAAGTAACGAGATCCAATCATTTGTAATATTGAATTATAGTTTGCCCCTTTGAAAGTGAAAATAATAAATTTATCAATTTGAGCCATACGACCAGATAGAAAATATCGCGACAGTCCAAGAGACAAGGAATCGATAAATAGTTAATAATAGGATCACCCAGAATTAACGTCAAACGAGAAACACCCATGTTCGCCTATGAAGAATACACATGATACAAAACGTATAACGAGATTGGATATATCGAGCATAATTCTTAATTACGATGAGATATCGAGTTCGTAATTATTATAACTATAATATTACGCAATTACTGCTGCTGCTATTACTACAAGAAAGAAAGAGGAAAAAAAAACATCATTACTACTATTACTAACTATTACTAATAATTAATAAAAATATCACTACTGTTTATACATATAGTGATTACCATAACAAACTATTATCGTGACTGTCTGCGGCGAATACTACCAATACTCTCATTATTACAATATCGTCCTTGTAATTTTTATATGCCAAGTGTACACTTTCATAGGCTATTGTCGCGTTATTATACGAGAAACTTGCGTGTAAAGTTTTAAATAAAAAGAAAACAGGAGAAAAGAGTTAAAAATTAAAAGTTCTTCGTCAGGACGAAGAAACGCGGGAAATTGACTGCATTAACCGAAACTATGAAATATAGATATTGTATAAGACGATAAATGATGATTATTATTATTATATTATAGTACGACGATTAATGTAACTAAGATTATTAATGATTGATTAAGTAAATAGAGCAAATTGTAATCTATCCTAATTGACGCAACTATTCAAGTAAGGATATGGATCTGTAATTCATGTGTAACAAAAACCAAACTGTATAACGTTGTTGTTGTTATTGTTGCTGTTCTTATTATCCTTATACTTACTATTATTTGCGCAGTGCTACGACGAAGTAAAACACCCAGCAATAATGTCATTGTAAATATTATTTTAGCAATATAGAGACGACACTTTTATTTGAGCTTCGGTAATTGTCCTCCTTGTACCGGGTGTCTCGTGTGACGGAACGATTTCTGTTCGAAATATGTTCCCAAGAAATTTTTGTCATCTGTTCAACTTAAAAGATCTCTTTTATTCTGTTTGTCTTTTTTCTTACGATGAATGTAAAGTTCGAGGAAAAATGTTATCAGTGCTGAAGAGCAGCCAAGCATGTATACATAAAATATGGTTTGCAGATGGTCGAGGGTAAACGAAGTGTTCCTCTTCGAATTATTTAAGTCGTGGCATTTCAATCCCGAGCATGAACGTCGATTCTGAAAAAGAAAAGTTAACGTATTAATTTTGAATTTGCGTGTAGTGAAAGGAGCGGGTAATAAAAAAAAAGAATCTTAAATCAACTGTGACATTAGGATTACGATACTGACTTTACTGGAAGATAATATTAAAATATATGTATGGAAGACTGATTAATTCCTTTGATAATGGAAATATACGTGAAGATATCGAGATTCTGGCTGTAATTTTTCTTTTTAAACTTCTCTACTCTTACTTAACGGTATTCCCTTTCGAAAGATATTCTTATTGTATTTCCTTTCACGAAAATCAGATCGGTTAATTTTTATGAGAAATCATAGGACGAAATACAGACTGTTATACCGTTTTTATGAAATTTTAGGTTATCAGATTTTAACACGTACTTTGCTATACGTTATGTGAGGCGCTTGACGGAGCATTCCTTGAGAGGTATGAGCAATTAATTCGTTGATTATTTCAAGAAATGGGGATCCCCGTGGAAATACGTAAGCCATTAACGATGGTACAGCACATTCCTCTATTAAATGGAACATCGGTTGTCCATTGTGGTCTATGTAACGGTCGTCTTGCTTCATTAAATTCGCGATGCTTTGTCTCATGAAGTACCTATAACCGCATTATTATATAAAATAAAATATATATTATATAAGAAAAATAATTACAAAATTTGATTTCAATTTAGTCTAAGTTTAATGATAAAAGAGGAAAAAAAGTCTTCATAACTTTACGATGCGACAGAATTGTCATTTACGTTGTAACATTTATCGATAGTGCAATTTCGTACACTCCTTATGAGTGTACGAAATGGAATGTAGGTAAGTGCTCGGGGCTGACATCTTTAAGAACTTGGGCGACAGAGGATTAAATGATAAAATAAAATAACAAAGATTTATTAAATTATCGATGACAGATACAACAGTTTTTCTATGTGCGTTAATTATAATCGTCTAAAATAAATGTCGGTATGTAGGAAAGGATTGTCAGGGAAGCGTCCTATATTTGTTGTCTATTCCTATCTCTCTGACCTGTCTTTGAGGAACAGAGGATGCGCTCGTTTCAATACGGTGGCCCTAGTGGCGCTCTGCCTGTCTATTAGGTATGGCACTACGTGCGAATTGACTAATCACGGCGAGGATAATAGATCGAAATCAATATGGCGTCAACTGAGGTTTCTGAGGTAGATCGCAGTGCTCTGCTCAGAACTTTGACAATGTTTCTCTACACGACGGGCTCGGCGGAATAGCGAGCGCTAGTATGCCTCTGCCAAAATTAGCCTCTGACAAAATTCTTAACAACGATTTTATGCAATTACTATGCTCTATCCCAGAGGGCATAAATCGAGCTCAAATACTTCATAACGATTTTACGGTGCGTTATCCTTTCGCATTTAAGTCACGCGTATTGTCTTATTACTCACGGTCGTGTAGTTACTGATTGTTGAAGTTAAATTTTGAATTCTTACAAGGAGAGGTCGCACCCTGTGGAATTTTGTTTGGATTCGCTCTCCTCACAGTTATAGGTAATTCCTAAACTAGTAATTTGTTAAAGTAATAGAACTTTAACACTTTTCAGCAATTCTCGAGAAGAGAAAGGGCTTAAAGAAATCTACGTACGGTATATGAATTCTGACGTTATTGTTTTTCGAGTGGTCGGATGGCTCAAGTGGTAGTGTGTATGTATGTACTCGACTGGTTCTTGGAAGGCTTGGGTTCGATTCTCAATGTCTACTACACTTTTTCCGAATTTTTTTCCATTATAATTGTTCTTTATGGAAATTGACTATTAAATTTATTCAAATCAAACGAAAATCTTAATTAAAAACATTTACAAAAATTGTTTTCGTATAACGTTTGTTTTTAGAATGTCAGGGTCACCTAATAAGTTTTTTTTTATAAGTCGCTTCTAGTACGTTGCTAGAGTAACCAGCTCCTCAGCCTTCCAAAAATAAAGAGCACTATTAAAATATACGGTTGTTCTTATTTACACTGTACGTCAATTTCTTTAAGCCCTTTTTTCTCGAGAATGGCTGAAAAGTGCGTCCTATTACTTCAACACATTACTAGCTTAGGCATAGCACAGGGTGCGAGCTCTCCTTGTTAAAATATTGAATTTGATTTGAAATGCATTATTTAATTAATCAGAATGCTAGACTGATTAGCAAGAAGCGCTAATCATCTATCGAATTTTATTTATATTATTTTCCGCGGATTGACTTTCGGGAGATGTTTTTCATCTATCGGCTACTGTTGATACTAGCCGCCCTTCCTCATTGTTTGATTGTAACGAGTGCGCTCTCAGTACAGGAGTACTGAGAGTTTGATCGATTTGTCACGATACAACACACATAAAATTCTTATTTTGCGGATAACTAATAAATGTATAAAATCGAATTTTCAATTGATGTATTAAATTTTCAAAAATCACGTAAAAGACCTCAGTAATCTCTCATAATATCGAATTACTCATAGCAATTACGCTTGTGTTATTGGTATTACTCCAATACTCGAACAGATTTGTTTACTTTTTTTTATTTGTTCATATACTTACCCACGCGTCACATCCATCTCCCAAGTCTGAGTTTTAAATATCGTTTGGTCTAGTTCGATTCTTGGCAACAAAATACTGGCGATGTGTGGATCAACGGACTCCGGCGTAAATTTAAGATTTTCTGCTAATGTGAGTATCGACAAGTTCGTACCATTTAGATCTTTCAGTGACTGAAGTGATCGATAATACAGTGGTTTTGTGAGGAAAGAAACAAGTATGCTTTTGTAAGCAGAATTTAAGAGAAAACAATACAGTATGTATGGGAGCAGAAAACTTTTCTGCTTTGTATTCGTATTAATTTCCTGCTTACTAATTGGCGCGTCGCAATTCAGTTTACATAGCACGCAACAAATTTCCAGTCTAATTGATTCTGAAAAATAAATTTTATTTTGATGCATCTTTTACACGTACGATTGTATCAAGTACTTATTACTAGTATTTGTTGTGATGCAAAGCAACACTGAAATTATTACTTATATTTATTTTTGTCAATGTTAAGTCGTACGTCAAATTCTTCATACTTACTTTCCTCGCAGCATTGTTTATCAGAATATCTGCTATCAGTTTTGTACCCAGACAATTGCGACGCTAGTAAGAATAGAGAGTAAACGATAAAGCTCAAAGCAACAAGCAGCCATATATCGATGTTTAAAGCTAGAAAGAAATTATAAGCCTGAGGTATTTTAGCTCCTGCCGGCACGAGAATACAGAAATCATCCTTATCGACCGGGTAGCTGGCTTCGAATCTATTATCATTCACGTTGAACATGCTCAGTAATTTTAACTTGTCCCATTCGCTATGATCAACAAGCGTCTTGGAAACATCGTCGTTACTGGACATCTGTAGCAACGAATAAATTATGTTGACACAATGAATATTTATGAAATCTATTATTTTGGTAATTATTTGTGCATAAAAGTGAAAGGGAATGAAGCTTATGTAAATTATTCTTCTTCTTGTGTTGTGCGCATGCGCTAGGTGAAAAGTAATAATTAGTTATTAATAAAAATTATAATTACCGTCTTAAATGGGCATGTTAATTCAAATCGAATATCCGTTAATGATTTTTTAAGTTGGCAGTCACTTTCAGTATCTCTCATATCATAATATTCAATTACAGGTGTTACGTTAAAATGAGTGAGGATTGTCCTTAAGAACACATCACTAAAGCCTACACTCTCGAAATCCGAGCTATTTACAGCAGTGTTTTTATTTCGAATAACGGGTAATTTTAGCGGATAACCATGAAGATTTCTGAGTTTGTTGTAAAAAATATTCGTATCGTTCATCTGGCTTGTGAAATTTTGCAATATGAATGGATTCGTCCATGGTACGTACGTGTAAATATTTGTCCTTCCTTCATTATCAAACAGTACTGCTACGTCAATAATAAGTACCTAAAAATATATAACATATTTTATATATATTTTTTTTTCAAATTATCACAAAGTAGGAGAACTGATAATTTTTAAACACGTGCTTATTTTTAAATCCTTCTCGATATTCTAACATACAATTATATTCTGTCAATAGTTTACAGTAAGTTGTTGAGTATACGATTCACTATGGCTGATGACATGTAACACGTCATTTTATGTATTACACGCAAGATACGAAAATTGCATCGTAATTAATATTACAGATTATTTTTATAAAGGTAGTATTTTTATGATCGACCAAGTAAAAATATTTCAAATTAAATCTCAGTATGAATATAATAAATAGTAAATAATATTTTTTTTAATAATAAAAAATTGTTTACCTTCCATAAACACATAAATATCTCTTTTATCCAGGTATCAGTAAACTTGACAGGATCAGTCATTACAAGCAGCATATGTTTTCTGGTACTAAAAAGTGAGTAGGACTGACTGTACCTCAAAATGTCGCAAAGTTTTTTTGTATTTTCAAGAATTAATATATTTGCGTCTGTTTTCATTGATTCTTTCGTAATTACGTACTCCTTATTCGTACTCCACTTTTCAGATATATTTATCATGGAATAGTCTAGCAGTACGGTAGACATAAAGTTCTCATTGACATCCTGCAGGATTCTAAGACTCCAAGGATTTGATACGTTGTACAGGACACCGATGGTGGAAAATTTTTGAAATTGTTGAAGAACAAATTTTTTAATGAAAATCTGATGACTTGTATTTCTGTTCACTAATTGTATTTCACACTTGGCAAGGTTTATAATTATCAGAACTAAAGATAATCGGAGAAACATATTTTCTTCGAAGATTATTTTTACTTGATCATTGTAAAAACTATTTCAAATGTTTTCCAATTCACTTTCATTCAATTAAACGCGCGGTCAAAGGTCAATGAAGCCTTGTTGAACTGCAGGGCAAAAGGTATGCTGTGTAACTTATAGTCATAGCACAACAGCACACTCAATGATATTATAATACCTATTGATATTTCCAACATCAATATAATATCAATGATAACAAGTGATTGTTAATACGTCATATTGTTAATAAGATACAATAGAATTTCCTAACGTAATCCATAATACAATGCGATTAGTACTGACAATCCGCAACTTCGTGGCTATCGAATTATATTTTGTTAATATACTCTTATTATTATATGATTATGAAACGGGTATTATCAGTTACTAGTATTCTGGAACGAAGTTCAAACAAGTGGAATATTGATGTCCTAAGAGGATAATACGTATACGTATGATGATAGTATAATACTAATTTTCTCATCTTATTTATCTTAAATTAAAATTTTATATATTTCAATTACGATAAAATAAACAATTCGAACTAGAAAGTATTTTATTAATTAAACAGTAAACATAATTAAACTAAATTAGATCCAGATGATAAATTTTTTTTCAATGTCGTGTCTGTCAGTGTAGTCACTTTTCATTAAGCAAATCTAATCGTGCTTTCGCAATTTTTTCTAATCGTGCAAAGAAATCTGAATTGGAAGGCACTATTTTATTAAAATCTTTTCTGTCGAATCGCAATAACTCGCAAATTTCGAGGGCAATCACTGTTACTTCTCTTCGTCTTTCCGGATAAACCAATACTGTTTCACCAAAATATGCTCCATCCTCAAGATGACATACCTGACGTAAAAAAATGAATACTTCATTTCTTATAAAAAGAATTTAATTAAAAGCGAACGTACCTCTTTTCCAGAACGTGTGATCAGAACTACTGTACCACTTGCAATAAAATACATATAATCGCCTTCAGCATCACATTTGAAAATTATGTCATCTTTCAAATAAATATCCGGCTTAAGTGTTGCTTGAAATAGGAAACATAAGAATTTCATATTAATGATTCATATGATAAACATTGCAATGTATTGATTCTCGAAATAACAGTCTATTTTGAAAAATGAATTAAATTTTGTTTGCTGCATTATATACATCTCCCACTTATATTACTGCCATGAGTAAATAATGTTAAAGCATGAAAAATATATAGATTTTTCTCATGACAATTTTATAATGGCAATATATTTGCTTGTATTAATTATGGATTTTAAAATGATTATTTATTATCTTAAATATACATATACACGTATTATCCGACAATAATCACCCTTTGGACATCAAAATGACTTGAAATGATAGAACAGATTACAAATTTCACATTACCCATTATACTTGTTGTTAAAGTTCGTGGTAAACCATAAAAAATGGTTGCATTGTCCAAAATTCCATGACTAGTATGTACTATGATTTCGTGCTTCAAGTGGCCTAAAAATACAAAAGTACATTAGAAATCGAAAAATCTTTGAGATAAATATTCAATTGACAAACTTGGTAATGTTGCCGTTATTGTGTGCTCCTTAAAATAACTGCCTTGGTATCGATACTCGTAATAAATAATTAATTTATCTTTAAGATTTTTCGGTAGCGATTTATCCTGCGCATACTGATTCACCTCGGACATTATTTGATGATACTGAAGTTCTGGCGCAACGTGGCACATTATTAACTCCAGTATAACAACTAATGAAAAGAGATATTCAAAATTTATGGATTCAATTATTATTGTTATGAAATTTTGAAAAATTTTCAGAAATACATGCCTATGATGTAAATGGTATAACCCTTTCCAAAAACCATTAATAGACAACGAATAGTATCGTCAGCTGATTCATGAGGCTGGATTTCAACGAAACTTGCACTCCATAACTCACTAACTCCAATGTGCAAACTTGATAAATATATATCGCCGGCTGACTTTCTGAGTGTATCAGACTTGACAAACCACGCATTCGATTTCTATCGTGATATTCGATAGCCTTGTAATATCTTATTAATTATTATTTTCTAGAAAGGGCATTGGCTTAGATAAATGACAAATTACCTGCAATCCTGTTTTACCGACATGCATCGCAAAAAATGGATAGCCGTAAATTAGGCATGCACTCCAATGGCATATTAAGACTGACAGCAAAGCCAACCACAAAAATATTTCGTAGACATTGTAAATGCCACACGCCTATTAGAGATATTGTTAATAAAAATTATCAGTGTTCCAAATCCCATTGGTTTAACGTTCAATGTTATAATAAATCACGTGTAACGTTATAATATTGCTTTTCCACAAAAAATGTTGTTAACTGTATTTCTTATTTGCAAGTCGACTTTGAGTATTAATATGTTCTGATTTAATTGGAAGTCATATCGTCTATCGGAACAATGATACCATATGTTACAACTTACAGCGCTACATTGTTTCACGTATTTTCGAAGTGTCGGTAATCGAAAGAGCTTCACGAGCGGAAGCAGTTCCACGAGAATTGCTGGAAAATTAGTATTTTCTCCTGGTGGTAAAATATATTTTCCGAACAACCAGCTATACGGAAGGGATGATATCAAATCCACTAAAAAATATTCTTGAGCATAATGCCTGTGTAGTGTTAAAATATTTAGAAATGTATACATATAGATCAAAAAAAAGTTTTAACCAGAAATTGTATAGCAATTTCTTATACGTACCTCGCTATAAGGATAGGATCGAGAAAAATCTCGTGACTAGCAGTAGATGTATAAGCTGTATTGAAATTCACAAGTACATCTGCTAAGCATATGACATAAGATGGAATTAAAACATTAAATATATTTAGGTTAGATGTTCCTGATAGGACATAGTATGATATCATGTATGGGAATGCAAGAAAGGAATAAATGTAAGTGAAACTCATTATGACATCCCAGCCAAATCTGCATGAATTTAATATCGTATTATCAAAGTCATTCCGGTATAATAAAATTATTAATTTTTTTGCTTAAAAAACCGTCTCCATTTTTTACCTGAATAGACTATATGGATGAATAACCCACCAATGCGATGAGCGTCCGTGGCGTTTCTTTTCAAAAGCCACTGCTGCGCGGCTACGAAAATGCCACCTTGTAAAAGGATGCTTCACGGACAATATGATAATCTTCTGAAATCGTCTTTTCAGTCTGGCAGTGAGTCTTGCGTTTGGCAAAAGTTTTGGTAAATAACTATCGGATCCTTTCGATAATTCGCAGGCATGAACGTCCAAACCACGTTTCTTTTTATTATATGTATCACGCGTGAACTGAGATATTCTCGTTTTCATTATTTCAAATTAGGTTTACATAAATTCACTGAACGGAATTTGAAACGTTTCTTTGATATTGTAGGTTATGATTTTATTAAAGATAGTGTTTCACTTTTCTTTAAAAACTTTTACTACCTATAATGTGAAGTATGTAATATATAATTTTATGTTTGTCCCAACAAGGGCAGCAATGACGATTTAAAATTTTTTCGAAAGCTAATACATTACGTTGGAAATATTTTTGTAATGAACGATATACAGGGTGTTCGCTAAAATAGGAATAGTGGTATTACACTTTAAATTTCTTTATATAAAAATCTTTAAATCCTTATTACACAGGAAGAAGACTTAACTGAAATTAACAAGAAACAGTGGACTCAGTCTGTAAATGTTATAAATACATGATTAATGTAATGAAATTTACAGCTCAATTTCTTGTATCTATGCTCCTAAATTTGCAAAGTAAAAGAATCAGATTGCATTATTAAATCAACCGTTTAATATATAGGAGATAAAGATGGTTAGATATCTATCTTCGTAGCTCATCTATCCCCTGTTTACCCGAACAAAAGTTAATCCATCGTAAAGGACAATATTATTTCCATTTACCATTTCTTGTACAGGGTGACGCGTCTTAGTCATCTTCGAAATGTGAAAGTGCAAACAAGACGCGAGACAGTAAATGATTTTAATAAGTCAATAGTAGTCTCGAAATTTTTCTAAATCAAACCCGCGTTGTCGATACAGCTTATCAATTCCGATTATGACTGTATCTTACAGTCGATTCAGTGCTACAGAATTTGATAATATTTAGCATGTCAACGACATTTGATAAATCGTTCGCAAGTACAGGACAGAGAAGAGATTCCTTGCTAACGACAAATATCACAGAAATCAAGACATCTTTTTACAAAAATGTATCTTTACTAGTCAAAGCAGTGCCTGCCAGTGATGAATTTAAAAAGTATTTTCATGAGGTTCGTTATCGCACTACAAAAAATTACCATATAAAACTGCTCCCGACTTGAGACTTGTAAAAATTCAAAATTAATAGTGTATGATTTTTTGGATGTTTATTAAAAAAAAAAATTCAAAATTAATTCATAAGTATCATATAATATTGAATGTGTCTATTTATGAGATTGCTTAATTACCTGTGCCTGTACTAAATTATGAACTGTACATTTCTATCGCAGCATATGTTCAATAAGCCAAACACGATGGGTTTCATTTACGTAACACATTTTCTTTTAACGGTGTACGATGCGGAGCGATTTAAAAGAACTGTCGAGTGGCCTGTTATTTGCAAGAAAACTGAAGCGCGGTATCGTATTGATATTAAAAATTATTTGAGCGAATTATCTAATGAGAATCCAGACATTGGCTTTCCACTTATAATGACGTCTACGCTACTGCATGCCGGAGGCACGAAATTCATAATTCTTATGTGGAAATTATCTCAGCTCGTGTTGTACAATTACGTCAAAGTGCAGAGTAAGTGCAATTTTTTGTTATATCAGATAATATATGTCCCAGAAAAAACAAATTAAGAGTTACATATCGGCAATGTTAAAATTTCCAACTCAATAGTGTCATTTATGGAATATATCTACATAACCCTCAGTATGAAATTCTAATACGTATATACGTACTATAACGTACAGTTTAATCGGATATTAAACATATTCGTTATAAGCACCTTCCACCCCTCTGGAGCGCAGAAGTTTCCCCGACACTAAAGCTCTTTCGACTTTTGCAACGTCAAGCTACGAATTATCTGACTATAGTTTGAATATTGACAATTATATAAATTTTTTGGCTTTGTCATATAGAAGATGAAAATGTTTTACTACCACCGAAACCTGGTGTTGCGGAGGAATTGACGAAAAGAATTTTTAATAATGCAATTAATAATATAGAGATTAAACTGGAAAAAGAGGGAGAAGCTTTGTATCATTTTATCGAGGAGTGCAGATTATTTGCAAAGTGAGCGATTTCATTGAATATCACGAATATTCAGTTACGCGAAGATAGGCATGTAATACGAATTATTTTGATAACCAGGGAGGAGGCTGATGCGATAGATGAAATTCGATCGAACTTATTCGAAATGCGAAAGATTTTGGAAGATCGCGTGACCATTGCTCCAACCCTGTCTGTAGTCAAGAAGAGGCTGCGAAATGTTGAAGATGTCGAAATTATTGAATGTTGGTACCAATAATATAATAATCAATAAATATCACAAGATCGAATAGTTAAACAATATTGGATTATATAATTTCACAGTAACATATTTTTCAAGTATCTCGAGCATTTTAGTTTACATTATCAAAAATCACGAATCATTCTCTGACACGCAAAGCCATTGTAAAAAATAAAAAATACAAACAAGGAATTTGAATAACATACTTTTCTCATTTTTTTTTTCTACGGATACATTTTCAGTACAGTAATATTAAAAAATGATATTCATTTCATATACATATTCGATCATTTGATATTCGTTGGAGAGATACATTAAAATATATAACCGTATTTATCTTATGAATTTAGTATGGAAAGCAAATATACTCGAAACACAAAATTATTTGAAAGAACGTAATTTGCGCCTCAGTGAGCTGGAGAGTCTCAGCAATCACGTAAATACAATAATAACGAATGTGTACGAGCCGAAAATATTAGATGTTAAAAAACTTGAAAAATTAGACACCAAAGCCATTCGCGAATTAAATCTTCCTCTGGAAATTCAGGTAACGAGCAGAATTACCGAAGGGACACCTTTTTCCGCTTTAAAATAAAATGTTTCCTTATCACATTTCAGGTGTCTGCAGGTCAATTGTACGTGAATGAAAAATTGTCATTGTCAACTTTGCTCTTGTTGTTTTCTGCAATTCTGTATAAGCTACGCTGGTACATAAGAGATAAGCAGTGGGCAGACGTATCATACGCACAATTGCAAGTCCAAATACTTTCCGATGACATTCGTAAAATGAAGAATTTATTTGATTTACTGTTTAAGCGAGTGAAAAATCTCTCGAGTGATATACAAGAATACTCCGATCATGAAAACTTGATTAACATAGGTACTATGAGCTGCGCCGATTTTCCTGACATGTACAAAGTTTTGTTTAACCCGTCGCCTAAAATAGAATTCAATGTGAACGAATGTGAAAGCAAAAGATTCTTAATCCTAGAACTTACGCCAGTGGAAGGCAAGTGAATAATTAAATAATATATATTTTGGATTTAAAAATTGTTTACTTGCAAATTATCATCTGTCAATTATCTCGCAGAAAGGCACAACGGACTATTCTCACGTCACAAACGCCGGAAAGACACAACGCCTCGATCCTCAAGGATTTGCAAAAATGCAATAATTTCACGAATTAAATTCGACGATACAATATCGTCTATAATTAATGAAAGGCAATCACCAGTACTGTGTAGAAATGAGAGTGTGCTAAGTGCATCGTCTGTTAAGAGTGTTAAGAAATATTCAAGATTGTTTACTAATTCCTCAAAAACTAACAATCGTAAAGGTTCGTTTTTTCTTTTATAACGATATATAAAATATACACGGTTATTCAGTAGAAACGCATCACCGTTGGAGCGTCCATTTGATTTCTATGGCCATATTCAAGTGACAAGTTTCTACTGAATACCCCTGTATAATAAAGATATATAATATAATATTTATACAATACTAAGTTTACCAAGGAAGCTTTGTTTTGTTCACAGCAAACTACAGTTTTATGTCTGTACCAAGTGCTTCTAAAGCAAACTCAACCGCGCTTATGAATATCGTAGAAGATGGCAAAACAAAAACAAAATCATGTTTGGATATTGCAGCAAAGAATCTTTTCAAACTTTCTAAGGATGTTGTTAGTATTGCTTCTCGCATTTCGAGTCGTGATTTAAAGGATTCTTTGGCTGTTACGCCAGTGAAGGACAATCAAGTGCAGGACAAGTCGGATGTTGAATCTCTGCGGACGATCAATGCTTTGGAGGAGGAAAATATATTTGAGGAAATACCATGTAATGGCGACATGATCTCTCCGAAAACTACCAAAGAGAAGGGAGGGAGAACTAGACGTTCGATTAGCGATTTGGTAGAACAGTACAGAACATTAGTAGACAGATCTTCGATCCAGTCAATACATTTTGAAAGTAGTAACGTCAATAATAGCACAGAAAAAGATTGATGATTGATTTGATATCGTTATTTGATATATTTCTGTAAATTATAGGTGTGCCAGTTGAGTTTTGAGTTATAAGCTAACTTTTACAATTACTTACCTTTTTTTTATTTTATGTCTGCACTGTAAGTCGTATTTTTGTAAAATGTTCATAATTACCAATTAGGCCATCTTTGAGAATTAAATTAACTTTAAGTTGTAACGATAGAAACGAAATACGAGTTTTAGAAATTACTTACTACCTTCAATGCAGAGTTCCTAATTCTTATATATTTGAATCACCTTTACGCTGCATTGAACTGTCCGCTTTGTGCTTTTAGTGTACTCCATTTTTTTTCCCAATAACTTTACCCCGAAGCAATCATCGGGAAGTTAATGTCAAATTATAAAAATTTATGTTTTTAATGCCTTAAAAATTGATCCTTAAATGCTCCTTATGTTTTCCTAATTGCTCCGCTGGTATTATACAATGATAACAAAAAAATTGATTGAAAGAAGAAAATGTATTTTTTATTGCTATTTCAATAACCAAGCAGATGTTCATGTGATTTTTTTAACACTAGATTTACGGAACCCGTAATTTTGACGGACTTCAAATTTCATGTTAAACCCTTAAATTCCACACTGGAGTGAATTGAAAACTCGCACCGGCTGTTACGGAATTTAAAGGTGCGTGGAAAAGGCGTGAAATTCAAAAATTAAAGTTACAGAAATTATAAGGATTATTTTTTAGCAATTTCTGTTGACGCTGATAATCAACCTCCGTAAATCTAGTGTTAATAAATTAATTGCTCTCAATTTGCTCTATTTTGCTCCGCAATTTGCTTTTTGTTTTGTTAGAGCATCTTTAAATAACAAGTAAAATTTGATTTTCTCTTGGCCGATTACGAAAGAAATTTTCCGAAAATTGCGGTGTTGAGATGGCAGAGGAGTTCTATAGTTCCTGATAGGTTTTAACAATAGTTCTGCTACGTAACATCGGTAAAATATCTATTAAAGATACTATTCGCACCATACGCTTCAGTGCAGGTAGGCATAAGGTGCTGACTTGCCGTGTTGTTTTCCAATGTGTTCCAAACAGTTCCGGGATAATTCTCTAGGAACTAGGAAGGATAGGAACTATTGTTTAAAAAATACTGAAAGCTAGCACCACTCCTCAGGCATGAGGTGCTGGCTTCTGTCTTATTAAATCTTATCGCGCTTACACTGTGCGCTTGAACTTAAAATTGCAAAAGAATAGTATATAACGATCCTAGGCCAGAAAGTTGGATTTCCTGGCGTGTGTGATACAAAGGCCGAGGCGAAGCCGAGGCTTGTATATCACATACGCCAGGGCATTTAACTTTTTGGCCATGTGTCGTATACTATTTTTCTTGCTCCCTAAGCCAAAAGTACCGTCTTCCCGTTTTTATTATTTAACTGACATTACAAATTTACGGTTATGAACAGTTAGAGTTTATGATTGAACATTCACTTGTTTGCATTTGTTCATATGCAGGCAAGCAGGCCACAAAAGTGGCTCTTCCCGGACTCAAATGCGGCCGGGAAGACGGTACTTTCGGCTTAGGTAGCAAGAAAATATATTTAGGCAATATCTGATGAGCGGCTTCGTTTTAAGGGTTGCTCTAGCAACCAGCGGTAAGTTGCGGAAAACCTCTGCCCACCAAGCTACACGTTCGTGATCAACTGATCACGTTCAGTTTGGTTACGATGGGATATGCATTATCGACGGAGGCGATGATCACAAAATCCTACTTTCGGACTCGCCGTTATGATTTAGCGCCATGATTTTGTAAAGCCATAGCGTTGACCATCTCGCTACTCATCTCTGTTTGATATGTGTAACATAGGGAAGATATTGAATTTTCTAGAGTCGGTAACTAACATTTTATCAAGAGGTAAATAAACTGGACATCTTATGGAATATGGCGTCACGCCAGCTTGGATATCCCAGACATCTATACAAATGGACTTTACTCATTGAAGTGCTATATATAGATATATATTCTATATATCAAAATCACGAGACACATGACACAGGTATATCTAGTTTATTTATATTCAGTTGAAATTTGATGTCACCAAATGTTGACTGAAGGTAAAATAGACTAGCCATTTCACAAGGTTTTCTTGGCACCACCCTGGGTAAAGCTGTTCTGTAGGTGTTCGCGACAGCTATGCTTGCGTGACATTAAATTTCGTCAGATAGCTTGTAAATTTGACTGTATGTACAATAGACGCATTCTCTATGCTTTCACTGTTAAGTCGGAAGGTTAGTAGTTTAACGGTAAGTTTTCAACGTTCGTTTTTAACGATGAGACTGTCAACATTCGTTATTAGAAGTTAATGATTATTCAATGTAGGCTAAATCCATCCGTAAATGAACACAAGACGAAAAGTATAGTAAAGAGTATATGTATACGAAAGATATAAAGTATAGTATACATATACGAAAGAGTAAGTCTCTAGTACATCTCCACTGCATTCCAGCGTTTGTACCGTCACAGTTTGAATTTACAAAAAAAAAACGGTGAGAGTATAAACGATGGAACGCAGTGGAGATGTACTAGAGACTATACTCTTTCGAATGGGACTGATAGGAAAGCTTAACAAACGATACTTTTTTTGAAAAACTCAAAAACTGGCGTCTAGACGCTGTACTTCCTACGTATTTACCTTGAATTTAAAAAAAAACCGTAAGGTTGCAAACGAAAGCAAAAAGGGATGCAAATCTTAGCGAACGGTTGACAAACAACGTAAAAAAGAAAATTTATGAAAATCCATACTTGGGGGGCTAACTTCACACAGGTTCAATTATTGTATCGATTATGTCAGCTCACTGTACTATCAGGCAAGAGACACATTTCTATCGTTGCACTGTACCTCTTGTTTAACATCCATTCTCATTAGTACAGTGCATATACATATATGTATAGATGTAATGTATTATTTACTGGTGCCTGTTTATTCAGTGGTGGAGTCAGCCTATATTTAAAACTTAAGAAAAACAGATTTTAACCTAGCAATATGTGGTCTCGATATTTTCTTCTTGGAAATATGTCAGGGAGGAATCTTCTAAATCGAAGATTTAATCCCAAGCCAATATTTATGTGGATTTTCCATCAAGCAATTCTATTTTACAGATCAGACGCCAAGGGCGCGTTCTAGTGATCCGATTGATTACGTAGAAAGACGATTTTTTCGTTTTACGTGGAAACTGACGGATTTTCTAGTAACCCCCCTTTCCGCGGTGTAATAACAGAAAAAATGATGGCCGATTTGATTGCCTCGTTAATGTATAAGCGAGCAGATAAAGCAGGAAGAAAAAAGAAAATAGAAAAGGACAAGCGACAAAATTTCTCCAATATATATTTTAGATAGCAAAATGATATTCTTAGAACGTTCTGAGGATGTGTAAGATAAACATATATACGAAAGATGTTTGACTACATTCTAAATATATGCAGTGTTTTTGGTATGTCCTTATCAAATGAATACTTAAAATCAGTAAATCTCGAAGATATTCTGTGATAGATCCAAAATATGCGCAGCATATTCCAAGTGTATACCCAGTCTCCAGCTAACTTATAACAGTTTCAAAAATTGTCGTGACGTACATATTTGCATAAGCCAGTCCTTCATTTTACATAATTCTGATAATTTTACATTTAACACAAAATTTGTTGGGACCTTTCTGACGTTCATTTAATATACAGTTTCAAACAGAGTGGGAAATGGTAGTTATTCGAGTATAAGGAGTTCATATGTACAGAGTGTTTAGAAAGTCTCGCAGTCTTCAAGCATTAAATTCCCGCTATGCGTATTGCTCGAATCATGCAGGAATTGTCCTAGGACAAAAGTGTCCTCCCCAAAAACACGACAAAAGTGGGAAAAGCAAAAGTCGAGCCATCCAGCTATATGCATATGCTCTACGACGATACTCATGCTATTGGTAGTGAATTTCGGAACGTACCCAAAGCTGTGAGAACTTTGTCATTGACATTGATTGAGACTGAGACCCTTTGAACATGCTACCAACATTCTGGTTCTATCAAAAGATATTTTCGAAAGGTACTAAGCATTCATTGAGAACAGACGTAGAGACATGGTCGAAATTTGTTCAGAATGTACTCGGATTCATTAATTCGAATGCTGACGATGAAATTAGGATATTCTGAGAATATTATATATCTGGAAAGTTTATTATAGTTTAATATAATTACCAGCTAATTGGTCGTCTAATTTGAAAAGCCATGTAAACTGACGTAGATCTAATAAATTTCCATAGCAAAAAACCAACCACGTAACATCTAGTTCTATAATTTCAGATATCAAACTACCTACAGCTATAGTCACCACCGGACAATCTTTCAAATAAAATCCATCTGCAAAAGTACGCAGCTATCATCAGCCATTGAATGTAAAGGCATAACAAAGAAGCTTCCGCCGATCGTGTCGCGAATTTCTCATTCTCCGCAGAGTCTATCCGCAAGATTGATGATGTCCTTGTGTATCCAGAGCTTCTCCCCAAGGATCACGATCATCTTCTCTATCATAGAATCACAGGAGTCCCATTGGACTGAAGTTTCACTCGAGATGACTTGCGAACCGTGGCAAATTTAAGAACGAAAACCTCCACTGCGAAACATCTCATATCGTCAAGCTGAAGAACCCGGTAGTCGATATTTCCCAGTTGACGAGTATGAAGCTTTATTTAATATTATAGTAATATCATATGAAATATTCCTATCAACTTAAGCTGCCACTTTATCACTTACGAATGAATTATAATTATCATTTAATATTTTTTTAATTTTCAAAAAAAAATTGCATAACCAACACGAATATATGTAAAGCTGTTTTGAAATATCTTATCGAGAACAGTCGTCAGTTTAAGCTTGATTCTCATACTTGAAAATATTCCGTGAAACTTCGTTAACGCCAATTGGAATATTACTTTGAAGAGAGCAAAATCTTTATTCCTCCAAAAGTAAAGTGACTATCCTGAATTATTTAAGTATAAAATAATTACGAAAAAGGGTTGAAATATAGATGACGTGCTTAATGGTTCCTTTCAGTAAAAATAATTTCATTATTATTATTATTCTTGTTATGATTGTTAATATTATTATCAGAGTCCCATTGAATCTCGCGTAAGAAAAAATAAAGAATTTGGTTATCTCTGGAGGATGTAGATACTGGATTTCTTTCGAAAGTTCATGGCGCTCGTAGTTACCTGCTCGTATCT